TGGGGGGGGGGGGGGGGGGGGGGGGTGCCCAACGGAGTTGGGGGGGGGGGGGGGGGGGGGGTGTACTCATAGTCGTGCATGCCGTAGTCGTTAGACCATTGACCTCGCATCCCTACAAAGCCGGGACGGGGAGGGGGGGTATTGCGTTACCGTTGTAAGATATGTTACGTGAAGCACGAACGGGGTGCCTTTAGCCAGCTCGAGAGGTGTACTTCACTACGGCCGTGAGCCAAGCGGGACGACGCACAGGGGACGGAGAAGCGAGCAGATTTGTGTAGGTTCTATCGTGTCCTTCCTGCAGGGCGGGGGGGGCGGCAAGCGTTGTCCAGATCGCGAAGAAGTATTGTAGCCGCACGGTCGCCACGGGGAAAACCGAGCCTATCCATGACGTTCACGCGAAGAATGCATTTCATGCCATGAGAAATTCATTTCGTAGGTTGGCTGACAACGTTTCCCTCCCAGTCAACCTAAATAGCTCTCCTGGAGACGAAACAATATCATCTTACCGTAGATCAACCCGACCGTGCTGGTGCCGAGAGGGGCCTCGCACGTCCCGTTCACGGCGCACGGAGCGACCGCCTCCTGCTCGGGAGAGGGGCCCAGCTCCAGGCTGTCGACGCCGGAGGCATCGTCCTGCCTCCCGGCGCAGAACCCCAGCACGGGGCCCCCCATCGACCGGATCGCCTCGTTGCCCGTCAGGGTAATGAGGTCCCCCCACGAGACGGCGTCGCCGTACTTGAGCTTGATGGGCTGCAGGAGGGTCAGCGACTTGTCGAGGTTGGTGTTGTCGGCCCAGCTTCGCTCCGGGTTGAAGCGGATCCTGCCGCCGTCGCAGCCGCCGCGGCCGTCCGACTGGCGGTAGTTGCCGTTGCAGTGCCAGGCCAGACGGATCATGAAGGGCGCGTAGTTGCCGAAGTCGGCCGGCCAGAAGTCCTGCGAGTCGGTGAACATGGTCGTGATGTCCGCCTGGAGGGCCTGGTAGGTCTCGCTGGAGAAGTCGGCGCCACCGGAGCTGCTATCGTAGGAGGAGGAGGAGGACATCAGGGCGCGATCCCCGCCGGGGTTCATCGCATCCTCCTGAATAGCGGGTGTTGTGAGACATGATATCGGTCAGGCGGATAGGAGTGGGGCATACGTGTTGGGGGCGCTTGAGGGTTGAAGCGGCGTGGTCTCATCCCTTTAGATCGAAGAGCTGGCGCAAAGAAACACCACATACATACCGCGTATGCGACCAGCGGAAGATGCTTCACACAACACCTCCAGTAAGCTCCTTCCTCCACCCGACGCTGCGTGCTTAGAACAGGAGATTGTTGTCCATTACAATGGGCACGCAAAGGACTGTACAGCACCAGAACCGACGAAACGTGTCCAGTTCTATTCCCAACCAAGCAGAAACGCACAGCTGCCGCCAGGTAGAACACCTTTCCTGAGGTGATGGGCATGATGTCGTACATTTATCATTTCCATCTGCTGGTCTACTACCCCGTGCATGCATCGGCTTGCAGGCAACATATCCTCTCTCACATTCTGGCCCGAGAGGAACGGGCAGCCGCCGAATGTGGGCGTAGCAAACAACGCCAGCGCGGCCAAGACCCCGATTTCGCACGTGCGCCGCATGGTCAATAGCCAACGGAGGTGTGGCGTGGGCTGGTGTTGAATACCCACAGCAAGAGGAAACGAGAGAACAAGGGGGTCGTGGGTGTGCTAATGGTTAGAAGAACTCGGCAGAAACACTCGGTAACTAGCGCCTAAGGGAGTTAGTGGGCTCCCGCAGTTAAAAGCCGCAACTATTTTCTCTGAATTCAGTCACACGAGCTCCCGAAGGACCCCACCCCCCTTCGCCGTTCGCTATGAGCGATTGCTCCGTAGCCAACAGGTCGCCAAAGCCGATCGACATGTCGAAGGAAACCTATCGGCAAATCTGTCCAACACCACCCTTTTGGGTTGATTGTCTGGAGCAAACAGGGTTTGAAAATCAGGTTGCGTGCTGTGCGAGCCTTATACTAGGGTGTCCGCCGATATGTACTGCAATTCCGTGCTTGATGGAATTGTTCGGGACATCGGTGAACCCCATGTCGTTTGTCTACGACCCTCACAACCTTCGCCAACGTTAGCTGTTAGGAAGATACATCAAAGCCAATTCGATAAAAACAAAGAATATGCGGCTCCCTCCGTATGAATGAAAAACGACTCCAATTTTGATGCATGTGTATCATGATATTATCCCTATGGAGTCCTCCGCTGTGGAACCACAGCCCTTTTCATGCGGACAATTTTACAGTACGTTACTGCACCTCAGCATAGTAGATATCAAAATGAAAACAATCGAGGGAAATTTACAATCTGTGGTACAGGTGCCCCACCACGTTTTTACTGATAGTGACAATCACACAAGATCCCAAAATGGCAAGCTGGCCGAACGGGTCGGCATATCTATCTAATCCTGACTTCAATACCGCGGCGTCGTCGGATCTACCAGGATGCAGCCGAAACCATTCGTCGTACCGTAGGCTTGGGTCGCATACAATACAGAGAACGAGAAAGCACGGGTTGGTGTGGATTTTCAATCAGACCAACGACGAGCACAGAATGGCATCTCCAAGAAGGAAGTAAGTTGGGTCGCGAAGTCTACCCGGAACGGTTAATATTCTGTGTCCGAGCACCCAGATATTATTTATTCCCAGCGGGCCTCTCCCAAGTTTTTCGTCTCTCAAAATCTTTCTTCATGAAGGTCGAGTCCCATGCTACGGCGGACAAGAGGCTCGGGGGTGTCTCTCATGAGGAAAACGGAAACAATGTGCATACAATTAGACACGCTACAAGACAGCTGTGGAGACCAATCCTACTTATGCATACTCCCGAACGTCTGTCTGTCTAAGGCGTAGCGGGAGGCATAACAAATGACCGGGGTTCTCGCACATAGACTAGACTGTGTCGTTGTTTACGTTCGAAGAAGACAACGAATGAAGAAGGAAGAACATGGTCCGTCAGCCATAGGGGACTACTTATAACATCATCATCGTGGGTGTCGGGGACCGTCATCGGATCCTGTGGAACGTGGACGAGATTGACAGAGGTGGTTGATTGACTTGAGGGAAAGAAATGCGCACGTAAGAGCAGGCACACAACCGAATCGTCGCCACCCGCGGTCGGAACCTCCTTACCCGCGTCTTGCTGCCTAGCAAACGACAGTGAGTGTGGGTATCACCATCATACGCAGCGTGCAGCAGAAAATCCAGGTAGGGGGACATAGAGAGGCAGTGAGTGGATGAGCGTTAATGGTACCCCATTGGTGGGGCATCATGGAACCACCGGGCGAGGAACGCACGAGCAACAGAGTGCGTACAGCAGTGTTTTCACCAACAAAGCAAACAATGATAACCTGGTTCTGTGAAGTCATCCCGGTTTGTATGCACGCGTGCATGCACATGATCTGGACACACAAATCCATTCGGCAACAGGCGGGAACTACCGTATATGTACACTACTTACGGCAGTAGATACACTGCTGTGCACCGTCGGAGGTGAGGCCCCACTGCATATTTCAATCAAGCTCACTGTAATGTACCTCTCAGTCGCGTCCAAGCGTCCAAGGTCCAAGGTGTTGTCCGGTGCTCGTTTGTGTGAGCGAGGAGGTTGACGTTGAAAAAGCTGCCAAACAGTTGTGGTCCATCTCGGACAATCGGGACGATCATGCACCCGCTTACCGCCTACCGCTTACCACCTACAATACTGTATTATAGCAACTATAGCTACCGCTTTTTACACACATACACATAAAGAATCAGCCAATCTTTTATTCCCGCCACGGTCGTTCGATTTGGCTGGCAAGTTGTTTGTCCGTTCATGTCGTCCGTTCCGCGAAATGGAAGGAAGAAGGAAGTCAAAGAGATAACAATCAATCAATCATCTAAGACGGCGGTGTACCCGACGGCAGTCATAATAATAATAACCACGCTACAGGCAGTGCAGTTTTCTGGGTTTTCGTGTGGGCGTGCAAGTGCCGCAACCAACTGCTACTACTGCTGTACTATATTGACAGAGTGCATCTATCTGGCATCGATAGGCCGTGCGCTACCCCCATAACGGAAGTAACTTTGTACTGCCGTACGGTGTGTCCATCCCCTACTTATATTTTTTACTTTTAGTATCGACAGCGCCAAATAAGGCGGATACGCAAATACGCTACTCTTGTAGCGATACGAAGAAACGCCAACACAAATGCATCCACTACAAAACATGCGTTGTGGTTGGTTGTGGACTATACTTTGTACATTATATATTAATTAGTATCTGCCAGCGCATACATACGAGAAGAGTGTGTCTTCGATTGCCGGCATGTTCGAATCGCTCTCTGCTGGCGTGTACATTGGAAGAATACGAGTCACAGGAAAAGAATTGTCCACATCATGCTGTTGGTCTGTCTGCGGATGTGTGCGTGGAGTACAAGCAGCAACAGCCACGGACCCCGGGCTTGGGGCACCTCAAGAGTTTGTGGGGATGTGGGACATGATATCGGGATCTTCTTGGAAAAGCTGGATTCGTTGGGTCATACGTACGCATATAATTGATTAATTAAGGAATAATAAAACTGATGAAAAAACAAAAAAGACTCTTTTTCTATTAAGGAATAATAAAAACACACACAGAAAGACTACTCTTTTCTATTTTTATAGAGATGGATTCGTCATATTAAGGAAAAAAAAAAATGAGTTGACCAACCACGGGACGGTTACTGTAAAGTAAGGTGTTCGTCCCCTTCCTAAAAACGCCTGCTCATCCTTCTTCTTGATCAATGAGGGGCGGCATTTTTTCCCTCCGAGTAGTTGATCTACTGCTGGTGACTGGTGAGGACAAAGCACTGGGACAAGGAGGTTACAAGCTGCGGACGGTGCTACACCGTGCCTATGGTGATTGGACGAAAAAGGTGGGTTTGTCAGAAAACCTGCTCACAGTCAGCCGCGGTGGTCAATCTGCAGCAGTCGGCACCGGGTCGGTCAACGCTTGTTTCGAATTCAAGATTTAACGAACTTGCATGCTGCTGTATGATCAGGAGACGGAGAGCGGAGAACAAGCTAAGTAACACTCGGCACGCTCAAGCCCGTTCTCGTGTGCTTGTATTGGTGCTTGGTTGTGTGGGGATGTCACGCGGGGTGTAAGATGCTCAACGGACCCTGATTGCACCGGTGCGAGTAAACAACGCGCGGTCGTTCAAAAATAAACTCTTCTCAAAATTACCCATCCCGTGTTGATTCAATTATTTCCGGTCCCGTCACGCACGACAACGAGGTTCGGTTGTGGAAACGAGGGTAATTTCGACCTAATATCCTATTAGCTTGACGCACTGCCGAGGGCGGGCAGAGTTCCATGCCTGCTGGCACTTAGGCAGGGAGAGAGGGAAAGAGAGGGGGCGTGTCGAGCGGGGACGTACATACTTATACATGTGGACTCACACGAGGGTCCGCATCCGCACGCCTGGCATGGCAAAGACAAGTGAAAACTCTTGTCCTTGTTCAACCGCGGCGGGGCGTTGTGCCGAGAAGGTCTGTCATGTGTGCGGGTTGCAGAGACGACCTATGACGTGTGCTGTGCATACGACTTGTAGTAAAGGGGTTCAAGGTGAGGACTTGTTGGAGGAAAAGGCGCCTCCTGATGCGCATATTCTGCCCTTTGCGAGCGAGAGAGAAAGATGGCCGTACGACCACACTTTTGAAGCGAAGCGGTCTCCAGTCTCCGATCACCGAGGTGTCTCGCACCAATCTCACACCTCGCTTGAGAGCTACACCTCAGGCAGGAGTACCTGCCTAACGCCCATCATCAGGTGTCCCCGTGCTGGGAGGCAGTGTTCGGCAGCGTCGTCGAACCGAAACGTTGGTGTTCGTAGTACACACTGCTGTTGCTACGCTATGGTCGTTGATGTTGTCACCAAGCGTTCCGATCTCTCACAGCGTTTACTATAGACTATTGACTCGGCTGTACTCGTTACACCAACATTACGCAAGTTGACGTGTGCAACCGTTCAGGTTCCGACAACCTTTAGCGGCGTCTGCTGTGCAGACACCATTTGCGGCGTCCCATCTTGCCTTACTGTTTCCTTTTTCTCTGTTTTCTCTTTTTCTCTCTTTTTCTGTGCCAGATGGCCTTGTCTCTGCTTGCGTTGTGAAGTACCAAGATTGAACCAAGGGGGTGTACCTCTTTCTCTCCGGCCCGTGATAGTGACTCCTAGTCTCAGTTGATACCTCGCATAGCGCGCGGAGGGAATGGAGAACTCCAGAATATCTGTCGTTGATTTCTATTGGCTTGCGGACCCCTCGGGGCCAGTTTATTTGAGTGTACCTTAACCTGTGACCACGGGAATCGACCGCGTCGAGTGTTGGATCAGTACGGACATACGAAGGTACTGGGTAGAGAGAGATCGGAACGGTTTTTAATGTGAAGACAGCAACAACAACAGCAACAATTGTTGTTCGGAAGGCCAGACCACGCACTTGCATTTGGCAAAATCGCCGTCGTACCGGAAGCCATCCCGTCGCCCGTCTTGTTCCTGCATATGGTATGCGTGTGCCCGACAGTCTCAGAGATTGTTCCCTGACGTAAGCACATACTGGTACATAACAGCACTACACATATACTTGTAGTCCTTCTTGGGGTGCCCGTCGGAACACAAAGGTCGATTTCGGCCCCAGGCCTGACTTTTTTTAATCGTTGCCCCCGTCCAAGCTTCAAAGTAGTAGGGTATTATCAACGTCCACCAGGTGTTGTTTCTTTTCTATACAATTGTACGCACTAGTTTTGTTTTTATTGTGATGTTTCCTTACCCTTGAAGTACAAGCGGGCCTTGATGCGTACATATTGCTTCAAATATTGAATCGCTAGCGACGTTTGGCACGTTTTTCTATTATGTCGTCTAGTCCATGCGGTACAATAGAGACATCTCGAGAGGCCTTACGTCTCCCAGTGCGTGAAATTTCCTCAGTCATCGGCCACCCTAGCCGTGACAAATGCGGGGCCCATTTTCGGCGAAGCGCGCCCGTACCTGGATGCATCTTCGTTAGGAGGCAATGCACAACGCGAATGAAGCCTACAGCAGCACAACCTTGCCCGTCCAGTCTGAAACACGGACGTTACGAACAAAGAGAAAAATTGAACCACGCTGGAAGTCCGACAGGGTGGCGGTATGGAAGCACGATAGAGCACTGCCACCGCAGCCGTCTTCCTCCACACTCTCAATTTGTGCGTGGTAGATAGTACCTGGCTCCTTCCCCACCTAGCACGTCAGTCGGACCGGTGCTAATGTTTCAAGGGCACCAATGAGCAGAGCCTGGAACGGTTTCACTGGGCAGAAAACAATGAACAACAATGTATGTTGCGCAGGAATAACCCCATCAAATGCTTCATCAAAGAGCGAGCTCGTTGAACCGTACTTGTCACAGGGATTCAGAGAGACGCAAACGGCATTCAAATAAAAATATGCCCTCCGAATCACCAGTCCATGTCGTAGCGGGATTAAGCACTTGCTCCGTCGTGGGGCTAAGTCAGATTGAGGGATAAGCCCCGCCGATCTTCAAAACAAACTCAAACCACCTAAAGAGACGATATTTCCCACTAATAAGCGTCTTCTTCTTGTCTCCCTTATCTACTGCAACTGGCTCATGTTTATTAAATGGAGAACAACCATATTTTACATATGTTGAACGATACCCAGAATCCCAAAGTTGGAAATATTTCTGTCAAACCTCGCGGTCGGTGGAAGGAGCACACAACGGTGGCCCACGTGTAATATCCTGCCCAATACGCTCGAAACTACGTCCCCATCTCCCCCGTGGCCTGACAGGAAGTCTCGCGGGGCGTGTCATCAGGTTGAAGTCACGCTTTAGAATTGCACGGATTTCGGAGAGAGGTGACGAAGGATGTCGGACGAAGAGCCGTGGGAGCCTTTAACCTTTGTCGATTACGTCATGCTGGGAATGGTGGGTGCGTTCCAAGCCTTTGCCCTGGGGGTGTGCATCCATCTAATTCGGTGGCGGAAGTGGCCACCATACGTCACCAAGAACGTCGATATCGTCATCATCATGGTGGGTAGGAATATGATGCAACGCACGCCTTTTTGATCGTTGTCCTTGTTGTTGCTGTTGTTGTCTCTCTCAGGCGGTTAGCTCTGTCTTGTCTGTGCTTGAAGCAGAATTAAAAAAGTGCCTCGAAGTTACCTATCCGCTCTCTCTCTCTCTTTCTTTCCTCTACGCCCTTCTCCCACTACCTCCTCCTTCGAAACCCCTCCCCCCCAAGGCGCTGACTTTTCCGTTGTCTTTTCTCTCTCCTCTCGTCCCTTGTATTTTCGTCCAGACGCTCGCGGGTTTCGCGTGGACCTTTGCGTCTGCTCTAGAGACCGGCATCATCGAGAGGAGTGAAGGCGACTTCCTCGCCAACTGCTACTTTGAGGTGAGCCTCTATCTCTCTCTCTCCATCTCTCTCTCTCTCTCTCTCTATCTCTCTCTCTCTCTCTCTCTCTATCCGTCGTGGGTCATCACTGAGGATATTGGGCGGCGACACATCGGTGCGCTTTGGACGAGTTGGATACACCGTACTGTTGCATGCACCCCTTCGTCCTGCTCTCTGGGTTTTTTGCTGATTTTCGTGGTGACATGTTAGCGTTTCAGGTGTCGAACTTAGGCGCAGGCGGCACGGCACCAGATCGACTCTCGCAAAACTGGGAGTGAATGTCAAACGGGCGGTGTACGGGGTGGAGAGGTGGTGGCGGCGGTCACTTGTGCCAGGTGGCGGATGAAGGGTGACATGGATCGGAGCCACTTCCGCGGGATCGCGCTCTATTGTCACATAGAACCTAGTGGCTGGCAAGGGTGCGGGACTGTATGAGCATGTTCCAGTTCCGTGTGACTGTCGAACGTTAGGTCGGACCCTCCCTTTAATGTGAAGCGTTGCGTTTGTTTTAGCGCGACACGACGTCCTTGCGGCTTGTCTCGGGCGGCGCTGCGTGGTACATGTGTCCTCGTTTCGTGTGTAGAGAGGAGATCGGCGGCTCTTTCAAGCGGGTTCCATGTCGTTGTTTGCACTCCACATTCCGCTCTGTCGGCTTCCCTTCTCCCTCTCAGCGCTTTGGTGTGCCCTTTTCTCTCCATCTGCTGCTCCAGGCATCACCTTTGTGTGACCACTTCGCGTTCGTGTGTTTGTCTTACCCTCCCCCCCCCCCCCCTCACTGTTTTTCATCATCCCCAAGGTAATCTTTTCGTGGTCGACACTACTAGCGCACATGATGTCGTTTGCCGTTCGGGTTTACCGGATGTGGAGGATTTTGATCAAGCACGACGACCACATGTGGCCAGCAAAGTGAGCATTCCCGGTTGGTGTTGTGGTCGGTTCCGGGATTTTCGTTCGTACTCTAATCATTTTTTCTGCGGAGCAAACCTCATCGCTTTCGACTATCAAGAGGCCTTGCCGAACTGTTCACCGAGTTGGTCCTAGACCTAGAGTACGGTCCCAACACACTGTTTTTTTGTTTTCATAATTCCGGGGGCGACTGAGTTGAGGTCAAACTAGTCACGCTGTTCGACCTTCCATAACCAGGAGGCTGTGTGTCACGTCTCTATCGGCGTCTACCATCGGCGCACCGGGTCGATGTAAAGTGCGCACGCTGTTATCTTAGATAACACCACAATTGTCGAGGCTGTTTCAGAGACTCATCAGCTTTGAAAAGTTTTTGTGTTCTGTTTGTACTCTGCCGTGCGAAACTTCGAGGGAAGGCAAAAACAAGTTGCGTGAAACATTCACGATCTTTTTTTTAATGCATGACGTTTGATGTCCTGGTAGTCAGTAGACGTCGCTAAGCGATGTCCACGTCCCCCACCCGTCAGGTACCAGGTAATGCTGATGTCGAGTATCAGCCTGGGTCCTCTGTTGGCGGCCATTATTTTCCCAGATCTCCATTTCTTCGACGAGACTGTCAATTCTTGCAACACAACGACGGATTCGAGGAACGTGGTCCTGGCGATGAACGCCCTGGGGTTCTACGCCATCTGCTATCTTTGGTGAGGCGAAGGAAGGACTTTGTGATGATGATGAGGATGGCGGTGGAGAAAATACAGCGGTGGAGGGTATATAGCTTCACGTTTGAGGGTGTTTGGTTGCGTTGGGGGTGGCGGTAGATGTCGTCGCCATCCTTGCCGTAGGCCTTTGTTGTTCTTGGAGTTTCATCAACAGGCCTCCTATGTCCTATTCCATCGATGCTGTACCGAATCAGGTTTGTGTGCGCCCGTCAGCTGAGGTGGGTCCGGAAGCAGTTCAACGAGTACGAGGCCATGAAGTGGACCCTGTCATGCCTGACTTTGCTCCTATTCAGCTACGCGGCCGTGGTGGCCATAGTCCTCAACAACCAACACGTTTACGTCAGAAGAGTGGCCATCGTGTGTGAGTCGCTGTCTCCCTTCGCGTTCCTGATGATTTTTGCTGCCGTTTCCTTCCTTTGAGGGTGACTATCGTTGGTGAGGTTGTGGCTTAGGAACATGGGGAGGCGATTAGTTGAAGGTGCCAGACCTGAAAGAATCTTGCTCGTCCAACACCCACGTTAGCGATAAAGGCAGTGGCGGTCACGATGCCATCGCGGCGGCAAACCGCTTATCGGTTACATCCCTCTGCCCCTACCTCCCGTTGTGACACGATCCAGACCCGGTGCTGACGACGTACACGCTACTGTGGGGCTCCATAGGGGAGCCAATCAAGAGGAAGCTGGCGGGGGACACGGAGTACCTGTACTCGTTCACTAAGGGCTTCTCGGAGATGCCTTCGCCCGCGCAGGTTCGGGAACCGCCGCTCGCAGCTCGTGACTCCAGCAATGATCTTGTTTTGGTTGGTCTGGGTTGTTGTTGGTCGTTGTTGTTGCTGTTACTTTTGTTGTTGCCGCTGGATCGTTGTTGTTGCGTGTGCTTGTCCGCAGAGGATTGTGTGATCGCGGCTTGACGAGCCACGCGCGACATATCTGTACCGAGTTTGGCTTGGATATTTGGCTTGAATATGTAGCTGGCAGGTGTTTTTGAGAGCGCCCGAGTACGTCATTTACGCCCGACAGTCGATGGGCGGGCCCGGTAGCGTGATGATCCGTTTGGTTTGAGCATGCGGAATACAGATGTGGACATATTTCCATTCTCAGGCAGCCAAGGGAGAAGTAAGCACCAAACGCCAAGACGTCATTACTCCCAAAGCGTATGTGGTGCTCATGCTGGATGGGATTTTGCAGGATGTGCGTGGTTTGCATGGTAGACCTCCGTCCAGCAGCTCAATAATGATTGTCAAGTTTATTTTCTTCGTTTCACTCCCCGTCTATTCGATATTAATTCTGTATTTCCCTCCCGACTTTCACGGATGACGCAGAGGGGAGGACAAAGAGAGAGAGAGAGATTCTCACGAACACCCCCCCCCCCCCCCAAGTACAAGCCCTCTTGTATTGTACGCACAATGCAGGCCTCATCGGAGTTGTTCACTTATACTGCCACTACCGGTGGCAAACAACCGGCGTTTTCATCAACTCGTGGCATGCTAGTGAATCTACCTTACTTTGTTTGGCGCCCCGTGTCTCGAACTAACTATCACACATGCACCTTTACAGCTCAAGGCTAGCTTGGCGGAGCAACTGTCCGTGCAGCAACTTCGCGTCGAGTTTCGGAAGTACGTCGAGACTATGGTGGCCCAAGAGCTGGTGGACTTTTACCTCGACTCGCTAGACAGGGAGGAGATCAAGGGCTATTTCGGCAGACAGGTGAAGAAGCGGCAGTAGCAGGGATGCTTAACGAAGGCTTGTCCCCAAGTTGTGTATTGCACGCGACTTCCATGTGCCGTTGATCGAGTCACTCACCCACCAACACGCTACCCAGGACCCTTGACGTTTTTTTTTTTTCAGAGACTACCGTAGTCGCTACGTCCTACTCCACATCGAAATTCCGAAAGATTGGACGGTGAACGTGAGCTACATATGAGGTGTTTGTGGAGTTTCGGCGTGTGCCGTAGCAATGCATCACGAAGCCATGAGAACACGAAACACTTCCATCGTTCTGTGGACCTGCATGTAAATGTGTAGGTTCTCAATGGTTGGTTCAGCGGGTGTAACGTCGGCATGGTTACGTTAGACCTAAAGCACGCCGATGATGACGTTGAATCTAAACGATACGAAAGGAACCAATTGTGGGTCGGCTGTGAAAGCAGTAACCTTAGCCTCAGGAGGACTAGTCAATCCCCGTCCCTGACTCTGCTCGTAAGTTGCCTTCTTCGACATACATAGCTCGGCAGTGCTGCTTCTTCATTGCACGTTGATCCACAAGGGCGTCCGGCTTTTCACACGTTCTGAACGCGTAGTCCGTTGTCACGGAAAAAGTGGACGGCCAGTGGTAAGCCAACAAGGGAATAGGAGGTACCTTTCAAGGTTCTGGAGAGAGTGTCTCTCCGACGGCACAGAGAAGGTTGAACGGTTTGTGATGGCAGTGGCGATGACTCGCGGAGGAGCCTCACGGGGGAAAGAAACACGCGTCTCCCAAACCCATGGCCTCTGAGTCTTGTTCCTCGGACGGAGTGAAACGACCTACCCAAGATATGCCCTTACAGATAGCTCACCATAGATGGGGACGCTCCCCCCCCCCCCCGTCGGATTGTTCTACAGGCGGCGACGATGCGCATTGTGGAACAGTACATCAGGGAAGGGAGTCCTGATCAGGTGCGGACAAGCGTCCGATGTCACTGTCTTTTTCCCAGCGCCGCAGCCAATTCATTGTAAATGATGACGTCCGCTACGGAAAACCAGCTTACCACAGCGTGCGATCACTAGAGTATCTCAGACACGGCACCAAAATGTTGTCACTGGGGTATTGTATCCCCTGTGACTTACCTATGCTGTGACACACACCCGCCGTCCTGGTGGTAACAGCAAGTCCAGCGAAGTGATCGTGAATACTGAACAATTACCTGCAGGCACACCTGCAGCAGCAAGACGCCACACTATTGCACAAAACGTGTAGTTCTCATTCCCTCCGTTTGGTCTATTCTGCCGCGTTGGTGTCGGGTTGGCAGGTAAACATTTCGGGGGAGTGCCGGGAGGAGATTTTGTCGACGGACGTGACGGCCTACGACATCTTCGACCGCGCTAGAGCAGAGGTTCTGGCCGTTATGGAGGTAACACGGGAGAAAAGTGACCGTCGTTGAGCCTCCAAGCCTCTTCCACTTGCCAGTTTTGCAATCCAAAACTCACCCGTATCACGTGAACACCGTGATGTGCGCGCCAATGCGGCCCGTAGGCTTATCTTGCTGATTTTGGTGTAAGGAAAGACAAGTGGTGCCGATCGTTGCTGTCGATTTACCAAGTCTGGCGAAAGTCTGGGGTTTCCCAGAACAAGGCAATGTACCGCAAGCGTGCGAACGATCTCCCGCGACGTTTTGGGTCGATTACACAAGAAGCAAGAGGCCTGCAAATCGGCGGCAACAAGTTTGCATTTGTTGAAAGGGTGTAGAGGAGAGTTTTCTTCGCGCGTGTAGGTTTCGTGTCCTCTTGGCTGTGGAGCAATCGATCTTTGAAAGTCGGGCTGGGTGGCGGACGATCACTCGCACTCTTTTACCGTACTTTTGCCAGCCGCAAAGGTTTTACCGGCATCATGGATGCCTATAGGAGCACCCTCCTCGACACGAATCCAAAACTCAAAACTGCCACCTCACTGTCGAAGAAATAGTTTCGACACGCGCTTATCAGAGTGATTCTTACGCTTCCTTCAAAAGCACCCAGCTGAGAAACAAGAACACCCGTTTCCCTCGCCCCGTCCCCTCTCTCTTGCCCCCTCCAACCACCATGGCGGCGAGCGTAGACCAACTTCCAGAGGGATTTCATCGAGACGGAGGGGTTCCGCCGAATCGTCGACGCGTCCGAGCTGGAGCAGCGACAGATGCGCCTCCTGCGGGCGGAGGGCGTCTTGGTCCCGAGCGCGTCAACGACCCCGGTTCGGCTGGCGGCGCCCCCCTCCATTTTCTCTCCACGGGGCCGCCTGCTGGACTCGTGCAGACGCTTACCCTTGGTGGGGAGATTGTTTTCTTTTTCGTCGCCCTCAGCCGTGGCACACGCTGTCTCTAGGTCGTCTACTCCGGGTGCAGGAAGTGGCGAGGTCGCGGCTAGAAGAAATAGTGTGGGTCATCGTGAGGAGGAGTTTGGGGCTGCATGACGCTGTCGATATCCGGGCCGACAGTGTCTGCGCTCAGTCCACTAAGGGTCTCGGCGCCTCCTTCCGGTGGCTTGATCGTTCGAAAGAAGGTTGCGAATAAGAAGGGACGGCGATATCTGGGCATTGAGCCTAACGGCACCGACGGGAGCTGTATGGGAGGGGCGGTACAAGCTCATACCACATACATTTCGGGAGGGTTCCGTTCTTACCGCAGGTCGAGTGGGAGGTATCCCTGCTACCGCTGATGATGCCGCAAAGGTCTTCGATCGGTGGCAAATTTTTAGTACGAAGACAAATTAATGTGGATGTTCTCTAGGCCGGGGGTTGGGGCCGATGCACTGAATGGTTCACACACACCAGGACGAGTGTTCAAAGGTAAGTTGTTACACTAGCGAGGTGGCGGCGCATCCGAGGCGACTCCATAGCGCATGTGTCGACTGAAGGTGTGGGGTTGGGTTTTGATTGGGGGAATTGTGCTGTAAGTTTTGTGTTGTTTTGTGTATCTTGTTGATATTTGCTGACGTCTCGACGGCCGTCCTGCGTTAGTATGCCCCCGTTTGTAGGTATGAAACCACACCTCATGGTAGAAATGTATGTATTGGGTGGTGTTTCGTGTAGAACAGAGGTACTGTAACAGAGGTACTGTGTATGCGTTTGTGGGAACGAGAAGAAAGTTGAGATTATATGGACATTTCACTTAGATTGGTATTACTGTGCACACGGCGATTTGAAGGAAGGCCTTTCCGCCTTCAGATCAAGCTTGTTTGGTTAGCCCTCATCGCCGCCACGGCCATGACGTTTAAGAAAAACAGAAACCTTTTGCCTCGGGGGTCGTTTTTGATGTCAAGAAGAGATGGGTGAGAGCGAGAAACGTTGCGATAGCTCGTGCTGACAATCGAAAACCCAGCATGTTTGTTGCTCATCGGGGGGCGTGTTGAAGGCGGAAGTTCTTGGCAACGCGTTATTCTCTCTTGCGCGTTGGCAAGCAAAATAGCATCCCGCTGAAAATCGATAACGACCTGCTGAAGATGAGTTGTTTGTGTACCCAGCGGTCGGTATGCCTCTGAAGTTTGGTATGCACGTGGCCTGATCGTTTGGTGAGGGACGGAGTCCCCTCTGCCTTGGACTCTCTAGTCAACTCCTGCCTGATCTTATCATGAAGATCGTATCAATGCGATTGCCCGGTTGATGGCGAATGGATTGAGCACGACGTATACAGTATGTCTTCACGGAATGAATCCTTGAAACAGGGTGATCCACGTCCGGTCACCCGTCGAAACATCGGTGTTTTCGGTGTTTTATGAAACACACCGCCTGGAGGAGCGATTTTCAAAGCGCGAACGGTGCTAACAACTTGACGGCTTTCGAACCGTCCCGTCGAGAGCGTCCCCAAAATGCATCATCTGACTATTGTATGTACTGCCGTGGCATCCTCTTCGTCGTGGAGTAATCGGGCTTCAAGCAGGTCGATATCGATAGTGGGGGTAACATCTGTATATCTTTCGCAATCTATAGTCTACATATCGGCAACGGTGTAGTAGGGATATTCGTGTGTTTGATCCATCTACAACCGGCCGACGCAGTATTCCAGCATCAAAACACCCTCACTCAAGAACCTTGACAGACGGGTAGTCTACTAATCGAAGGATGGACCTGAGCTGTAACATACATCCGGCCTAGCCCACCTACTGCATGTACCTTTCTCAGCAGGCAGAAGAAGAAAAAGTATCCCTGGTACAGCAGTAGTCGTACAAACGTCAATTTCGTTCATGTACAAGAATCACCATTTCGTCGCCACATCGTGGCCACCGGATTTTGTGGGAATACTCTGCGGTTGTCACATCGCAATTGCATTATTACTGTAGTCTACATGCACAGCAGAAGTATAGTGTACATGAGATATCTGCGCTGCCCATACGTGGAGTACGAGCAGCAGCCACGGACCTCTCGGGGCTCGGGGCAGCCAAGGCGCTTGGTTTTGGGGTGGCGGGCTGTGGGCTGTGGGGCCTGGATCCAACGGTCTTCAACACGGCGCTGTACCTTTCCTCCCCTCCCGGTACAAACGCCTCGATCAAATTTATCTTTTCCCTCGATCCGCCTGATGCTGCTCCCTGGTCAGATCCGCTACGGGGACACAAAAGAGAGGAGCAGAGGGTACAAGCTGCGACCCGTGCTACACCGTGCCTAGGGTGATTGCACGAGAGAGGTCAGTTTGTCGATTCTGTCGGAACGTGCTAGCTTCTCTGTGCGCGTTGTCCGCCGCCGCAGTCGGCAGTCGGCAGCTCGCAGACGTTCAGAACGACACCGGACCGGCCGACGGTTGTTTTGCATGCAAGAAATAATTATAATAGTTAAACCGTATTCTACATAGCCGTGCAGCGTGGCGGGCTGACACCCAGCGAAACCAAGCCTGTCTCACGCAATGTCCAGGGGTTTGATTGTGTGTGGGGATGGTGTAAGAGGCATCCCTAGGACTTAACGGGTGAACAAGTTGGTAGTTGCCCTTGGCCAATCGGTGTTGATTCAAATTCCGCCCCGTCGCGGCAACAATCAACAATCAACCACATTTCAATTTCGGCACCACCGCACCAGACGTGGTCCGCTAGAGGGTCCCACCCACGGTTGTGGGAGCGTCGACCCGCGCGCGAAGCGGGGAGAGACAGACAGGTATTATTCAGTGAGGTCCAGGCCCAAGAAGCGACGGAAAAATAGCGAGCGGGCCGGGCGCCACAAGCAGTCTCTCGGGGCAATTGCAAGATGGCAATCACGTGCAACTCAAGTATTCTCACTCCACGTGCAGTCCTCACCTATACGTGTCAAGGGTTCTGGGTTTGCGCGCCCTCGCTTGTGAGAGTTCAGAGCAGCACGGGTGCGTGAATGTCAGCTGGTGTTGTTTCCCTCGAAAATAAACGTTCCGATATCGGAGTCTAATGCCACTGCTGAGGGGGCCGCCTTGTCTTGCACTTCGGGTAGGGAGACACACTTTTGTACTCTACTGCTACGGAAACCTGTTGGTCACGTCCTATTTCGCCGGAAGGTCACCGAAACAGGATTACCGTACATTGTAGACATTTTCTTCCAGCAGTGTAAGATTTCACCCCAAATGTGCACCTCTTCCGTGGCAACAGTCATCTGCTCAATACCGATACATTTACCAAGGTCGTATTAGGCACACACTACGTTCGTAATCTGAAAGAAGCACAGAAGGGTAGCAGATGCGTGTAACTGTTCCCGACACAATCTAATAATCTTTAGAGGTCCGGATACCACTGGCAGAGAGCGATCGATGTTCGGCTACAACTTCTACAGTACTACGTAGTCGAATCCCCGTGGCACCAGCACCCGCCCTCCGCTATTTTTTGGTTCATAAATAGACCATGTGTGTGTTGTTAGATTACAGTAACATCGACCGCGCTAACCGGCTGACCAATGAAAAGACGTCAGTCTCGGTGCGGTTGAAAACACAAAACACTTCTAAATGTCATTAACTAGGACACCGTGAGGGGGCGGCACAGGGGAGGCTAAGCAATTCTCCGGGTGCAAGACAGAAACGGTAGCAACAGAAGAAAACTGCCAAGGCTGCTAAAAGGCACTCGAGTTCGTTTTGGAGTGCTTTCACCACCATCCTCCTTGATTTCACCATCATTATTTCTGGTAAAACACCTACCTGTTGAGAGACCCCTTGAGGGGATTCCTTGAATCATCAACCGCGGTAGCTACCGGGCGGGGGCCATGAAAAGACAGGGGCCCTCTTCTGCGGATCGCGTCCAATCTACAGTACAGATAATCTAATGTCACAAGGGGGTTGAACGATCCGGCTCCGGCCAGTCTGAAACCGCCAACCTCACGACAATCATCCATATAGGAACCGTGCCGGATTTCCAACTGGACGGCACTCCAAACATATTATTTCGGCAACAGAGTGTTGGAGACAACGGGTTCAAGGAAGTATGTAGTACTGTAGGACGGACGTGGGAAAACAGTGGGCTGCGTGTGATTTTTCTTTCAATACGTTCGTTCGTCAACCCCAACTCCCCCGCGGCCTGACAGGAAATATCGCAGGGCATGTCATCGGTTCAACGCGCTAAAAAGCTCGGGTTTCGTAGCGACGTGAAGAAGGATGTCGGACGAAGAACCGTGGGAGCCTTTGGCCTTTGTCGATTACCTCATGCTGGGGATGGTGGGCACGTTCCAAGCCTTCGCCCTGGGCGTGTGCATCCATCTAATTCGTTGGCGGAAGTGGCCACCATACGTCACCAAGAACGTCGACATCGTCATCATCATGGTGAGTCGGAACATGATGCAACGCACGCGTTTCATTGTTGTTGTTGTTGTCGTGGTTGTTGTTGTTGTTGTTGGTGTTGGTGTTGGTGCTGGTGCTGTTGGTGGTGTTATTTTTGGTGGTGGTGTTGGTTGTTGGTGTTGTTGTTGTTGGTGTTGTTGTTGGTGGTGTTGGTGTTGGTGGTGGTGTTGATTTCAAAACATTTTTGAAGGTTTTGAAGAAGATTTTGATATGTTGGTGTTGGTGTTGGTGTTGGTGTTGGCGGTGGTGATGGTGGTGGTGGTGGTGGTGGTGGTGGTGTTGTTGCTGCTGCTGCTGCAGCTGCTGGTGGTACGGCGGCGGCGGCGATGTCTGCCTTGCGAACATGTGACTGGAGCTCCTCGCTCAAGTGGTCCTATGAAGACATTGGATGCAGTCGCCTAACCGCTCGTCATACATTGTCGGTTGTTTTGGTGTTCTCTGATCATCTACACAGCCGTGCGCTACGACTTGCGCGGATCTCATCATGCTGGTGGGGGGGGCTCACTGTTGTGAAGTACGACCGCAAGCAGTGCCGCTGCCGCTAGGGTGTTCCCTTGCTGGTTCGTCTTGACGTAGGAGCTGTTGAGGTCTGTGCTTGCTTGAAGCGTGACAGTGAAAAGGGTGGTCAGTGCTTCTCCTCTCTCGACCCCTTTCTCTTTGTCTCACTCTCCGCCGTGTGTCTCTCTCCCTTCCCCCCCCCACCTCTCTCTCTCGTTTGTGTACGCATTTCTCCCTCTTTCTCCTTCGATATATCTGCCCCCCCCCGGCGCTCACTGTATCGCTGTATCCACCCTCTTCCCTTGTATCTACGTGTAGACGCTCGCCGGTTTCGCGTGGACGTTTGCGTCTGCTCTGCAGAGCGGCCTAATCCCTCGGAACGAAGGGGACTTCCTGGCCATCTGCTACATTGATGTGAGTTTCTGCCCCCCCCCCCTTGGGGCTCCGCACGGGTGGTATTGGGATGCTGAGTGTGCTGAACACCAGGGAGGAGACACCGTACTATGGATACGCCCTTCTTATTGTTCTTTCCACTTAGTTGCCGATCACGGCGTGACATGTTAGCGTTAAAAGTCGAGATCGATGGCCCTGCAGGAGATTTACACAAACAATCGGGAGTGAATCGTCATGTCACCCTTCCTGTCCGTGTCTTCATCTTACCCTCCCCTCCCATCCGTAACGCCGTCGCTTGCATTGCAGACAACCTTGTCGTGGTCGACGCTAGCAGTGCACATCATGTCGTTCGCCGTTCGGGTTTACCGGATGTGGAGGATTTTGATCAAGCACGACGACAGCATGTGGCCCGCAAAGTGAGTTGCCCCCCAGAGGGTTGTGGTCGTTTTCGGCGTTCGCCCTTGTGTGTGTATCGCCTTTTCGGCGCCCATGAAGTGCCGTATCGTCCCCATGCCCCGGGGTCCGGGAACGATTCATGGTCCGTTCCGCGGTTCGGCACACGTCCCGTTTGAGGTACTTCTTGGAATATGTCACGAGCCGGACATTGAACCGGGTCATGGCCCGTGCCATGACACCAGTCCACTTTGGGGTTCCAATACGTCCCACGGTCCGGTTAGTGGCACGACTTGGAGCGTCCGATGAGCCTCTTCGGAACACCATGGGCCGCCGTGGACAATTTCATGGACCGGATTACGGCGACGGAAGCGGCCCATGGTCCGGTCCAAGATATGTCCAAATATGGTGCATGATGCGCAACGCTCTATCCACCCCCCACCCGTCAGGTACCAGGTAATGGTGATGTCGAGTATCAGCCTGGGCCCTCTGCTGGCGGCCGTGCTTGTCCCAGATCTCCATTTCTTCGACGAGACTGTCAATTCTTGCAACACAACGACGGATTCGAGGAACGTGGTCCTGGCGATGAACGCCCTGGGGTTCTACCTCATCTGCTATCTTTGGTGAGGCGCAAAGGGTGGCTTTGCGGTGATGTCAAGTAAGGCGGAGGAGGGTGTGCTTCAGATTTGAGGGCGTGTTGTTGTTGTTGTCGGTGGTGGTGGTGGTGTGGTGGTGGTTGTCTTGGTCGTTGTTGGTGTTCGGGATGTTGTTGTTGTTGTTGTTGTTGTTGTTGGTGGTGGTGGTGGTGATGGTTGTCTCCGTAGTGTTGCCATTGTGTTGTTGAAGTTGGAGTTTATTTTTTGTTGTTCTTGGAGCTCCACCTACAGGCCTCATGTGTCCTATTGGGATGTTGTTGTTGGTGGTGGTGGTGGTAGTGATGGTGGTGATGGTCGTCTTCGTAGTGTTGCCATTGTCGTTGTTGGAGTTGGAGTTTAATTGTTTGTTGTTCTTGGAGTTCCATCTACAGGCTTCATGTGTCCCATTCCGTCGATGCTGTGCCGAAACAGGTTCGTGTGCACCCGTCAGCTGAGGTGGGTCCGGAAGCAGTTCAACGAGTACGAGGCCATGAAGTGGACCCTGTCATGCCTGACTCTGCTCCTGTTCAGCTACGCAGCCGTGGTTGCCATAATCCTCAACAATCAACATGTGCTCGTCAGAAGAGTGGCCATTGTGTGTGAGTCGCGGTCTGCCTTCGTGTTCCTGTTGATTTTTGCTGCCGTGTGCTTCTTTCGAGGGCGACTACTGTTCGTGAGGTTGTGGTCTAGGAACATGGGACGGCGGTTAATTGAAGGTGCCTGGCCTGATTGAATCTTCCTCGCCCAATACAGACGTTAGCGATGAAGGCAGTAGCGATCACGATGTCACCGTGGTGGTAAACCGCTTGTGTTGCTACTGATGTGTGCTGCTATGTCCTTCTGCTGCTAACGGTGACCGTTGTTCGAGATCGTTGTGGTGGGCATTCGGTTCGCTGCCTGGCTTCAGGATCATGGGGTACGATGCAATGACCTGAAGCCGTCGTCCCCATTGAGAAATGTATCAGCGATGAAGAGCGTCAAAAGACCGCGAGGAAGTCATGGTGACAGCCCCTTTGTCGCTTGCGTCCCTTACCCCTTTCCTCCGGCCATGACACGATCCAGACCCGGTGCTGTCGACTTACACGCTGCTATGGGGCTCCGTAGGGGAGCCCGTGGTGAAGAAGTTTACGGGGGACGAGGGCTACCTGTGGTCCTTCACAAAGGGATTCTCGGAGATGCCTTCGCCCGCGCAGGTTCGGGGGCTGTCGCTCACGCCTGTTTAGCACGCCTTCAGGAAATTGTTTGCTGGGTCATTGTTGTTGCTGCTGTTGCATGTGCTTGTCAGCAAATGATTGTGCGTTCGCGGCTTTGGCGACCCACGGGTGACATGTCTGTAACGGGTTGGACTTGCTGCGTCTGCGCCTGTGAGCATGATCCGCCCGCGACTGGCAGTCGTTCTTCCGGCGCGGTAGACGTGACCCGCTTGGGTTGAGCACGCGGACTACAGCCGGGATCCTTTTCACACGCGGGCAGGAAGAGCAGAGCAAGCGGAGCACTAATAAGCGTCGACGTCCACACTTTTGCCCTTGCGAAAGATTTCGTGCTCGTACTCCTAAGGTGGCTTGATAGCAATTTGCGGTTTGGATGGTAGGACTCCATCAATCAACCGAAAGGCAGTTGTCGAGCTTATTTCTGAGGGCACTCCGGCCGATTTATGTACAACCCTTCAGTATTTCACTCTTTTATCCCAGGCCTAACGAATGCCACAGGTTTCGTGCAGCACTGTATTGAGGGAGGGAGGGAAGGAGGGAGGGAGGGAGGGAAGGAGGGAGGGAGGGAGGGAGGGGTCCACACGAACTCCCCCCCAAAAAACAATTCAAAGCCTATAGTACCCACTAAAGAGGCATCATCGGAGTTGGTCATTCTACCGACACCAACTGTCACAAATTTCCGTGGTTTCACAACAACATGTATCATGTTTCACCATATTTTGTTTTTTTTGCTATTGGGTTCGCAATCACACACGCACACCATTTCAGCTTAAGGCTAGCTTGGCAGAGCAGCTGTCCGTAGAGCAACTTCGGGTCGAGTTTCGGAGATACATCGAGACAAAGGTGGCCCAAGAGCTGGTGGACTTTTACCTCGACTCATTAGACAGGGAGGAGATCAAGGGTTATTTCGGCAGACAGGTGAAGAAGCGGCAGTAGCGGGGGTGCTTCAAAGCAAGGGTTTCTTTTTTTGTGGCCGACCCTTGAAGTTGTGAGAAGACTGGCTCGGTTTTGAAAGTTTGTGATCTCTTTCTGCCGCACACCTGTTTTCATCTCGTTCTGCCGCCCACCTGCCCACTGACGTACCGATAAGCCTTTGATGTTTGTCCTTGTTTTCACAGAGGCTATCGCTAGGTGCTCGTATGTCTTACCACAGTCACGTTTCGAATCACGGGGTGCTAAACATGAGCCACAATTTGTTGTTATGGAGCTTCACATTGAGTCGTCCTTAGAAAGTGAAACGCTTCACAGCTCTGGAAGAGATAGAACCCTCGTGGCTTGTGATACGCTGCTTCTCACGTCCGTGGGCCAACAGATGCAATACGTAGTGTGTTGGCGTGAGGTAATTTGACCTGTAGCACGCCGATGGCATCGAATCTAGGCATCACTGTTGCTCGCCGATTGAATGCTGGTTTCGTAAGCAGTAGTCGTAGGAAGGGCTAGCCCCCCGTGACTGGCTCTGCTTGCGGGTAGGCACAAGTTGAAACCCGACTTGTTCGTTTTAGTTTGGCGCTTTGCTTCTTCTGTGGAAGTTGTTGCGCCTCAACGGGCCGTGGTACATGGTGATATTGGCATACCGTCCATGCTTTCTTTCAGTAGCGTCGTAAGAAAAAATAAAGTATCGATGGTACGCCAACATGGAACTACTGGTAATTGCCCAGGAGGAGGTTGAAACACTCGTCTAATGCTGCCGCTGTTTTTTTCCCGTAAAGGGAGTGAAAGGACTCATCTACGAATTTCCTTGACAGATACCTCACAGTAGATGTCACCACTCTGCCCCCCGGTTGATTGTTCTACAGGCGGCGACGATGCGAATCGTGGAACAGTACATCAGGGAAGGGAGTCCTGATCAGGTGTGGACAAGTGTTGGACGCCAATGTTTATTTTTCGTCCCAGCACCGCGGCTTGTTGCGATGCTGTTTACCTATACACGTGCACGAAATAACACAGCGTCCTGATAGTACTCGCACGGCGTCCAGCGAAATTATATCGAAAACGCTGAACACATGCCTGTCATCTGTCAACCAGCAGCACGACGCCCCACTACTCCACGAGCGTTCTGTTTGTCAGGTTCTCGTGTTTGTTCTACCGCATCGGTGTTGGGATGGCAGGTGAACATTTCGGGGGAGTGCCGGGAGGAGATTTTGTCGACGGACGTGACGGCCTACGACATCTTCGACCGCGCTAGAGCAGAGGTTCTGGCCGTTATGGAGGTAACACGAAACAAACATGACTGCCGTTGAGTCTATAGTCCCTTCCTACCACCATTGTAATTTCACCCGTGTCATGTTTACAATGATACGCCCCAATGCCGTCCACAGGCTACTCTTACAGATTTGGGCGCCAAGGAGGAAACAATGATAGTCCTGGTGCGTACCTCGACATCGTTGATGTACCAAGTATGGGGAACGTTTCGTTTTTTTAGCGAAATGCGGTAAAGGTCCGAGTGATATCACACCCCTCAGACAGACTCTCATAGCTGCATTGCACCACAGCCGAGAGGCCTGCCATTGCCGAACAGGGTTGGGTTGGAGGTACCTCTTCGAGGTCTGTCTTTCCTTGCAAGCACCGGTCAGTTTCGTCCCACCCTAAAAGGGTATGCCGCGACTGAATTTTGAAAGTCGTGTGGTGGTATGGAGCAGTTGAGCTTTGAAAGCCGTATCTGATCACTCGCACCTTTACGTACCTTTCCCGCAGATGCGAAGATTTGTTACGGCCGTTACACCTGTATCGTGCACCCCGCTAGTGCCGCCCTCCTCTGCAAAAATTGCACATTGAACACTTCAACCTCTACGTTTAGATCTGTTCTTGCCTCCAACAATGCCGGACAATACGCTTTCCGACACACGAATATCAAGAGTAGATTCTTGCGCTTGCTTCGGAGGCACCCAGCTTAACAAACACCCATATTCCCCTCTGCATGTCCTGGCTTGTCCTCCCACCCACCTGGCGACGAGTGCAGACCAACTTCCAGAGGGATTTCGTCGAGACGGAGGGGTTCCGCCGAATCGTCGACGCGTCCGAGCTGGAGCAGCGCGAGATCCGCCTCTTTCGGGCGGAGGGCGTCTTGGTCCCGAGCGCTTCACCGACCCCTATTCGGCGGAGGGCGCCCCCCTCCTCTTTCTCTCCACGGGGCCGCCTGTTGGACTCGTTCAAACGGTTGCCGTTGGTAGGGAGGTTGTTCTCTCCTTCGTCGCCATCAACCGTAGGAAACGCCGTCGCTTGTTCGTCTTCGGGTGGGGACGCGGCTAGATGAGATAGTGGAGGTCGTCGTGAAGAAAAGGATCATGGAGCTGTGCGATGCTGTCCGGGAGGGGGGCGTCAACTTCTGTATATTACAAGGCGGTCCACGCAGCGTCAAGCGTGTGATGGTATTAAAGAACGGTCACGAAGAGGACGGCGATGCGGGAATCGCGACTGGCATCACCGACGGAAGGACTGCGGACGGTGTTAGCCGTTGGAAAAGTGGATTACTACATAGTCTGCTTCGTATGCTGGAGACTCTCGTACTACTGCAGGCCGCGACATTGAAGTGGCGCCGAAGGCCGGGTGGGGGGTTATGCCCGGCTACCGGTGATGCGATCGACGGTATGGTGTTGCTCGGGACATGACCCCGTGGTTAAGACCCTACTCACAGATTCATTCACATACACGGTGATGTTTTGGGAGTTTTGGAGTGTGAATATCATTCTAAATAACAGGCCTGAACGGTTTGTCCAAGGCGACTCGATAGCTTATGTCTGTGTCTTTGTAGATAAGTGGATTTAGGTGCGTGCGAGGAATTGAGCTGTAGCATTTAAGACTTGTAGTCTAGACCCCCAAAAGTTTTCGTTTCTTGTTGCCGTTGATTCAAACGGCCGTCTTGTTACAATAGGTTCGCGTGTGTAGGGTTCCGAAGCACAATATCTTCAATTGTACTAGAAATGTTGTCGTGCTTCTATTCAAGTTTGCCTGGAATTGACTAAATATATATATGGGTGTGTGTTGTGTTTCGCCAATACGGCGTACTTTTTTGGCAAGACAACGCGGGAAGCGACAGAAGAAGGAAGCGGGTAATCATGCATCACATGGCCTTCGTATTTTGTGTCGTGAGAAGTGATGTGATGGTGATAGAATTATTTGAAGCAAGGTCTTGCAGCCTTCGTTGGCAAAACGCCCTTGATCGCCACTCACTGTCGCCCCGGCCGTGGCCGCCATGGCCTTATCTATGGCCATGTTACTCATGCCAACTCACGACTCCGTTGGGAAGCTTTCTGGCTCCCTCAAGACATACTGCGGGTTACTTAATCGTTAATCTCTCTCGAGTGAACATTACCCAATTTTGAATCCAGAGGCGGGTGACGACTAACAGTCGTGTTAGGTGTCCTAAATTAATAGAGAGCGTTGCTTTTCCCTAATTCTCCCCGCGTTACTGCAGGTAGAAGGCAAAAACTGTGCCGTGGCGGCAATAAGGAACTGCTCATCTGCTCGAACTGTTTGTGGGCTGCTCTTACACAGTTTTCGGGGAGACGCGCTCACACTGCACCTCCTCGATTCTCGGGCGATACTGCATCTCGATGACCGAAAAAAAAACGACGCCCCAGCGACAGTTACATCAGTCCGGAAGTGAAAGAAAAAATGTCAAAAGTTTTACACGCGGTAGACTCTTGTTCATGATCCATGCGCAAGTAGTTAACGTGTGTGCGTGGGCGGGGCACGTTGTGAATGCCAGTCACAGAAAAGAAGAATAGAAGAAGGGCTCATCTTCCTACTTGAGGGGATGAGTGTCGACGACGGACGGACGTCCACATATATATATATGGTCCGGCGATTTCCCTGATGCAAAACGATCGTTGTGCGACACTACCGTAGCCTTTGTCCCCGAAAACAGTAACGCCTCAGGCCCCGTGCGAGGAGCTGTTGTTGGCGACAGGACTCTGGATCACTGATCCAACGGGTGGAGAGAGACGGGAGGAGGACTTCTTATAAACTGCACGAGAACCGGGCTGTGCCTGAGGGTGGTCGAACGAGAGAGAGGCAAGTATTCGGATGACGCCAGCATATGTCTCACTCCCTGTGTGGTCGGAGTCGATGCGCTGCAGTTTGCGTGGTAGCCTATCTTGTGTGTGCGAGAAGAGCAAGCGACTGCACATATGACATGGGGCAAACTCGACCCATGGTGTTGGAATGCGTCGTTGTTACAAGGTGTGCGGTGCAGTGGTACCTGCACGCCCGAAGTTATTGCGAACACGTTCAAACCCTGGCTCTAGCGGCGCACATATTTGTGTCACTCGGACGCCAACCACCCTCTCTGTCCGCTGCATGCCAAATGCGACCTGGACGGTCTTAAACCATGGAGACGAACAAAATCATTTTGTGGCCTCGAAAAATAGTGGATGCCACCTCGGTGAGCGTAGTCAAACAACATCCATGTGAGCCGGGTCACCCTCTCTCTGTACGAATGACGTAAAGGTGTGTCACTCCCGACGCACGCATGAACACCTGATCTCAACAGAACCGGGCACTTTTTGCAGACATTTAACGATGCCTTCTACAGCGCGAAGTTGGTTGCGGGAGCTCAGGCTCCCACCCAACCCCTCTCATTGCTCGGACCATCGCACAGGGCGATCGCACACGTGCATGTTGCATGTGGGTGTAGTGTGGTTGCGAATGGTGCGGGGAACACACCCTCGTTGAGTAGTACACCAGTCTACACACAAGCATGCGGTCCACAGGCTCGAATCGAAAAGGCGGTACAGTACCTCCTCTACACATGTACCGATGCGTCCTTTCAGTGATTGGTATGATGCGTCTGTCTTCGGAATGTCAGCGGGAGTTCGAACCTACCTCCGCAAAATAGGGGAGGATGCCAAGAGGAAACCGTCGGCCTGACCTTCAACCAAATCTATATTGAAGCCGCATGTACATACAGTACAGTAGATTCTAAAGCTGCATGACGGAACAAATGTCATATCAATCATTTTGTTGCGGGGTTTAAGCGTGTGGTTTCGCTTTGTTTATCCGCTGGTGTGGACTTCCAAGGATCACCAAACTAAAAGAAGTAGATCGTTGATGCAAGCGGGGAACCACCCATATTTGTCCCGCCCTCTATGTACTTTGTCTCAGCCCCTGAATCTCAAGACGGAAAAAAAGTGTTCCAGAGCGTTCGATTCTTAATTTCTGTAGGTGAACGCTCTAGACTACAGTAGGTTTGGAAAATGAATCAAGCTCAAGCCTCTGAGACCTTTGGTGTGCAACTCTGTAGCAATACGAAGGTTCCTGGAGTGTTCTCATTTTTTCCAACGTCATCGAGTCGACTCCTTGTTGAGGAAGGGCCTAACAAATGTATCGAACTCTCCACACAATGGTATCTGCCATGGTGTTCGCAACAACAACGGTTCCCTGCATAAGGGCGCATGTGTGTACTCTGCACAGAGTCTGAAACACGCGAATATCTGCATTCAAACAACCTGCCAAAGCCAGCGGAACATTCGAAGAGTGCGTAGCTGGATACCTGTGGCATAGATTGGTCTGCTCTATGCCGAGGAGGCTCCGAAAGTCCCCAGGGAATCAGTCCTACTTCAGTATCACGAAGACTTCGCAGCACCCCGGGTTTCTGCTCAGGTATTAGACTATTAGGATTTTTCTTCTTCGATGATTGCTCTTTCTCTCAACAGAACATGCTATCCTTACAGCGCACTCCCCCACACCGGGTCCGTATAGGAACCTCGGCAGAAATTCTGACAGGACGGCACCAAGGAACTTGTACTCCAGAGAGCGTTAGAGACACCGAGAGTTGCGGGAGGTACGATGTACCTCGTGTGGCCTCCCATCCCAGAACTTCGAAAACTGGCCCCGGGCCTGGCCTGACAGAGACAAGCAACAAGTGATGCGTAAGTTCGACCCCATCCCCCCACCCCCCGACCTTACCGGGGATATTTCAGGGCATGCCATCGGTTCGACGTACTAATAGGACGCGGACTTCCTAGAGACGTGACGAAACATGCCGGACAAAGAACCGTGGGAGCCTTTGGCCTTTGTCGATTACCTCATGCTGGGCATAGTGTGTACCTTCCAAGCCTTTGCCCTGGGCGTGTGCATCCATCTAATTCGTTGGCGGAAGTGGCCACCATACGTCACCAAGAACGTCGATATCGTCATCATCATGGTGAGCACGCGAACGAAACAAACCAAACGCTGCCGTCGTCGTTGTTGCCGTCGCAGTTGTGGACGTCGTTGACGTTTTCGGCAGTTACCTTCACCGTTTTGGTAAAAAAAACTCTTCGGTTTCTGTTCGACGATAGAGAACTCAATTTTGTAAACGGCAACACTTGTTGCTTCCGGTAGTTTTGATCGTCCTGTTGGGCCATCACCTTGCCGGTTTCTCGAAGAAAACCAACCTGCTTTCTCTGTGCCGCCCTGGTTGACGCGCAGTACGCTGTTTCCGCAATTTCTCTCTCGCTCGCCGTCTCAGTCTTCGTCTCGGCCTCCACCTCAATCTCTCTCTCTGTCTCTACCTAATATCTAGCTACTGTCTCTGCCCTCCACTGCTCAATACCCCCTTGCCCGTCTCTCTTGTCCTTTCCTTTTCCCCCGCCTCCTCGATCCACGTGACTCCCCCCAAGTGCTCTCCATGTCCATCTATCTACCCCCACATGCTCTCGATGCCTTTTTCTTCTCCTCACTCGTGTTTCCTCTATCCTTGAACGCGCAGACATTCGCGGGTTTCGCATGGACATTTGCGGCGGCGGTAGGCCACGGCCTTATTCAGAGGAGCGAAGACGACTTCCTCGCCAACTGCTATTTTGAGGTACGTGTACTTCGCGCGGTCACAGAATACGGTATTAGGTGGTGCTGCAAGGGTTCAGCAAACACGAACCGATCGCGTTACTCTAGGCCCCTTCGCTTTGCCTCGGTTTTCAAGGGCCACAGTATAATTAATCATCGACCTTTGTTGAGCGACAGCGCATAACAATCTCACCATGTCAGTGAATCAAGTCAAAGGGCCGGCGGTCGGCGGGATTATGGCGTGCACACGCACATGCCACAGTCGGCGGAAGACCGATGAGGTTGTAGAATGAAACGACTTCCAAGCGATATATTCCGGAACCACGCGGTTGGAGGTTTTGCCGGGAGGTCGTACGCCAACAACTCCAGCCTCCGCTTTGAGGTCGCCCTAGCCTTGGTTTCTGCTCATGTCTCGAGCCGGCTGCTCTGTAGAATCTTTCGTGCGGCCCGCCCGGGGGTGTCTCCTTCGTCTCGCGTGCGTACCGGAGTTTGGCTTCCATGGTGTAATCATCACCGATTACATTCTGGGTGTACCCGTCTCTTTCTCTGTCTACTACACCCGCTGTTCGTTACCCGGCCATCGTTTCCAACGTTCCGTGTACCTGACTCTCCCCGCCTCTCCCGCCCCTCCCGGCCCTGCTCGCCTCGCCTTCTCTTACACCCAAGGTCTCTATTTCGTGGACGACACTTATGGCGCACTTTATGTCGTTCGTCGTTCGGGTGTACAGGTTGTGGAGGATATTGATCAAGCACGACGACAACATGTGGTGCGCAACGTAAGTTCAACACAGGTATCGCCTGTGGTGTAGGGTTCTGAGGAGGAGCAAGCCTCAACTTTTTCTGGTTCGAAGGGCTGTTGGTTAGCTGCAGTGTCGGCCCCACGTGTTTCCCATGTAGGCATCTGGGCGTTTTTGTTGTGCTTCTGCGTTCCACCGCGTAGTAAACAAACGTACGTGTCATTCTGCGCATATTATTCTCGAAAGTCAACAGACGCCGTGCCGGCGTGTCCAACTCGACTCTTCAGGGTCCAGGTACTGCTACTATCGAGTACCGGTCTGATACCCCTGCTGCTGGCCATCCTGGACCCAGACCTTTTCTTCTTCGACGAAACTGCCAACTCTTGCGGCACCTCGACGGGCGCGACGCGGGTGGTGCTGGGCATGGACGCTTTTGGATTCTCCATGATATTGTGTCTCTGGTGAGGGGAGGGGGACCTGGTGGTGTGTTCTTTTTTGGTCTAGAGATTGGGTCGGTATACTTGCAGTCAGTTATCACTGTTTTGGTTTGCTTCGTGTGTAGACTATTCGTGCGAATTGTCGTCCAATCTTTTCTGGTGTCGTGATATCTTTTCTGGGCGTCAGGGTTCATCTTACGGCGAAAACAAAGTGGATGGTGCACCAGCCGGGTCGTCGCTCACGTCGTTGCTTTTGCGTTCTTCGCCTTGCTTCTGAAGTACTTGTCGTGCGTACTTTCGAATGGCGAGAACGACGCAGAAGCCCCGTTGCCTTGTGGGCCTTGAAGAAAGTCGAAAGTGGAACTTGCGTACCCGAGAAAAAGTTATTCTTCATTTCGAAAATCTCCCGCACTAACTACAGTTTTGCTAAACCGTCCATGGGACACCCATGGGTCAACTATGGGTCACCCATGGGCACTTCATGAAAATGAAGTACCCACAGTGGGCACCCCATCCTAGGACTTCGCCACCGGCATATCAACCTAGAACGTAGCCACCCACATCAACCTAGAACTTAGCGACCAGCGCCAACCTAGCACGTCTCGTGTGGGCTTGGGGTTGGGGTTAAGGGTAGCGTCATGGTTACGTGCGGCTATGATGTCCCGTTCCAGACGCAGATATTCTAATTGTTTTTGGAGTACACTGGTTCCGGTTGGAATGGCTCTGATTAGCCGCCCATGGGCTTCCCATGGGTCAACCATGGGTCAACCATGGGCACCAAAGTGCCCCTGGGCGTTTTAGGAAAACTGTAGAAAAGGGCAGGCGACCCTCATTTCGTGGGGTATGATGAAAGCATTGCCCCACTTCGTGGGACGGTGCCGCCCTTTCTAGCGCAGAGCTCCGATCCGCCGTGAACACCATAGTCATTGAAGTCCGACACCGTCCAGATCTTACTTTCTCCAGCGAGTGTGCTCACAAGCCTGGGCACTCTGCTACAGTGTTTTAATGTGGGACAGGGCAAGTCGCAGCGAATACGTGTTGTCGATTTGCTTCTGATAATTCGCCCTCATGTGTGTTGGTTGGGATTTGAAAACAGCGATACGAACGGACAGGTCTATGCTCCCACGATGGCCCTCTTTTTCAAGAAGTCGAGTCGAAATGGAACTTGTACCTGCCCTTTTCCACCGTATTTTTTTTCTTCGGGCTGTCGTTGATAGGGGCCGTCGACGCCCTTGTCGTTGTCATTGTCCGCGTAGTGGTCTCTGTGAAGGAGATCACGTACACTACACGTTCCTTGGACCCCGGTCTTTCATTGACTGTCCTTCTCTCTGCTGGTGGTGCTGCAAGTACAGGCTTGTATGTGCCCGTCAGCTGAGGTGGGTCCGGAAGCAGTTCAACGAGTATGAGGCGATGAAGTGGACCCTGTCATGCCTGACTATTCTCCTGTTCAGCTACGCGATCGTGGTGGCCATAATTCTCGACGGCCACCACTGCTACGTCAGAAGAGTGGCCATCGCGTGTGAGTCGCTATCCACGTTGCTGTGTGCTTCTTTGTTGTGTGACCATCGTTCGTGAGAGGTTGTGGTAGTCACTTGGTTTGCGGCCTGGCCTTAGGAAAACGAGCAGCGATTCACTGTAGGCGTCCGATCCGAAATTTGTATTCGTGCTCGTTCAACACACGCGCTAGCGATAAAACCCTTGCTGGTGGTCACGATGCCGTCGTGGCGAATAGTCTTGGCTTATCTTTCGCATCCCTGCACTCATGCCACGACCCAGATCCGGTGTTGTCGACGTACACGCTGCTATGGGGTTCCATAGGGGAGCCGTTCAAGATGAAGCTGACAGGGAACGCAGAGTACTTGTACTCGTTCACCCAGGGCTTCTCGGAGATGCCTTCCCCCGCACAGGTTCGGGGACCTTTCCCTCACGACGCGTGGTTTATTCAGTAATCATTGGTTGTTGGTCGTTGTTTATTTTTTCCTATTGTACTGTTCGGCGTGTGCGCGTCTGTCAATGGTGGTGTCGCAATTCACGCATAGTGCTCTCGCCCTGGTCTGTCAGGTGTTTGTTCCAGCGCATGTCTGCATCAACACTCTATTACCTTGAATCGGCGGAAGCACCCTCGTGTTCCGCTAGGTTTGTCGCTTTGTCTTAGCTCATGACCAGTACCGTATGTTCTAAACACACCTTTCGGAATCACTCGTGTTTGGATAGCCATCTGTAAGTTGTTCGTGGTTTGGATCGTAAGAGACGTGATACTGCGGTAATAGCAGCATGTTCCCAGCATTCGTCATAATCTTATCGACTCTTCCCCCGCCCATTCATTCTATCGACATTGCGTTACTTTTCCTAGGCCTGCAGAGTACCGCATTTCTGCCAGGTCGAAGCTCGAGGGAGGGCATATTTCACACTCCCACCCCCCAAATGTTCAGTTAGCACGGAAGAGACAATAGCGGGTTTGTTCGCGTCTATTTCCGCTGAAGGAGACCATCAACGAGGATATCATCATCAACACATTCCGTGCTTCAAAATACCGGGTTCTTGTGTCTACGCGTCCCCATCCATCCGTCCAATGTGTAGCTTAAAGCCAATTTGGCGCAGCAGCTATCCGTAGAGCAACTTCGGGTCGAGTTTCGGAGATACATCGAGGCTAAGGTGGCCCATGAGCTGGTGGACTTTTACCTCGACTCCCTAGACAGGGAGGAGATCATGGAGTACTTCGCCAGACAGGTAGAGCGGCATCGGCAAGGAAGCTTCATAGAACGCTCCTTTTTGGTCTGTGGGGAATGCGTGTTTCGTCAAATTTCGCCCACCCACCAAACGACGAAGATAGCTTAGAATATGGTCCTATGCCGAGGCCCCGCGATACGTCCGGAATCCACACCTTGGAGCATAGGCCATTGGATAGGCGTGTTGGTTGTTCAGAAGGTGTTGGAATCGCTTACCGATGTATGCAAGTTCCTTCAACAGCATATCGATACATACATACCGATCGAGTGTTTCAATGTCAAGTTGCCGGAATCACATATCGATGTACATGGTGTTTATTTCATCGGGTGGTGAAGTTCCATATCAAAACTATTGGTTACATTCGGCGTGTACTGGCATCACATATCGATACGCATTGGATTGTATGTATTTCAAGAGGTGACGGGATTGCTTATCGAATACATATCCATTATTCAGCGGGTACTAGAATCGCGCATCGGGTGCACCTATACCGCATTATCGAATAAATAGAACAAATGGCCATTCAATGTCTTTGCTCGCGAAAATAGAAGACGATACTGTCAACTGCGGCATCTTTTCATCCGCTTCAGAAATAAATTCTTGAATTTGGGGGCGAGGCTGTTCTTGTATCCCTGCTACGAAGAAGTACCTACTAATGACATATCTCCGTTATTGGAAACCTGCACTCTCTGCAGCGTGTTGGGCCTTTGAGAAAGTTCAGAAAATACATTGGAAAGCACGTTTGACGAAGAGGTACCCTCACGAGCACATCATCGTACTTCCCACCTCGACCATTCCCCCACCCCCCGCGTTTCCGCTTGCAGGCGGCGACAATGCGCATTGTGGACCAGTACATCAGGGAAGGAGCCCCCGACCAGGTGTGGAGAGATGTCAGGCACAATGTATTTCGTGTGCTGATTTTCTTTTTCGGCATCGAAACGCTTCACGTATGTCTTCACACATGCACGAGCAACCCCCCCCTCGTCTTCAGCATCCCTACGTGCACGGCAATCAATGAGGCGCTCCCTCGCTTCTTGGTTGGGGCGATTCTGCTACTTGTTTCATGCATTCACAGGTAAACATATCCGGGGAGTGCCGGGATGAGATTTTGTCAACGCATGTGACGGCGTACGACATTTTCGACCGCGCTAGGGCCGAGGTTCTGGATGTTATGGAGGTAAGACAGAAAGGAAGAGAAGTGCGTTTGTCAAGCCACAGTCCCCAACCTTCCCTTGCTCTCGGTAGGTCACAGTCTGTCATCCCACGCTGCCGCCTCACATTTTGTTTTCAACCGGTCTCGTACAGCTTACGTCCACGACCGACACCCGCCTTCGGGGCATTTCTAGCTCTCACTTCATACGACAAGATAAGAACCTTTCGTCCCCCTTCTCCACGCCCGACCCTTTCGCTGCTCCAACCACATTGAAATCAACGAGAATAGACCAACTTCCAGACGGATTTCGTGGAGACGGAGGGGTTCCGTCGCATCGTCAACGCGGCCGAGCTGGAGCAGAGACAGATCCGTCTCCTTCAGGCTGAGGGTTTCTTGCTACCGAATACCGGGACCTCACCGACTGACACGGAGGTTCTCTCTCCTTCCAGTCCGGACGGCGTGCTGGGCCCGTTCAGGCGCTTGTCCTTGGTGGGACGGATGTTGTTTTCGTCTTCAGTAGGACCAGCTCGCACTTCTTTGTCTTCGGCAGCGCCCCAAGATGCCGGCACCGGGGGGGGAGAGGGGGGCAGAGGTGTTGGTAACAACAACGGGAGCAGGAGCACCCAGAATGAGGGAAAAGGGCGCGACGAGGATGGCGACATGGCCGTTGCTAAGACTGGTGGCGGCAATGTACCTGGTGGCGGTGGTGAAGGGGGTGGTACCTCGTAAGCGGGAGGGTGGATCTCGTTTCCGCTATAGTGTGCGGGTGTCGCTACGCCAGGCAGCCTGCAGATACCTCAGAGGTTGTTCCTGCTACAACTCAGTTCCCTGCAGTCGACCACAGTCAGTCACAACGGCCACGGAGGCGAAGAACGAGTGGAGCGGCCGTCAAGGCTCAAGGGAAGAGCATGAAGAATCACTACAACGTGGCTGTGCCTTGTGGTGCGAGTGAGTGTTCTTCGCGCAGAAAATGTTTGATGGCCCAGTGCATTCGCTGACGATGTGAATATATGTACTTGAGTGAGGGAGGGAACGGGTATCGAAAATGAAAAACTGTACAACAACGTTTTGATTCGACATGCACGGGTGTCATGCTTGATTGTTCGTAGCAGCTCGTCGATTGTCGGTTCTGTTGGAGCGGACGGCATCTTCTCCGAAGGCGCGAGATACGTTCGATGGTCAATGGCGATATTCGTGAATGTGTCATTGTTGGTCAATGGTGGGTGTTGATGTGAGTGGTGCGAATGATGGGGTCTCCCAATATTTTTTCATGCGCACGCACTGTACCGCGGTACTTCTATATGTTATGGCTGGTACAGGTGAACGCAAAGGCTTAATGTTGGTTTAGGGCGGCGTCATTGCGACTCACGCTTGTTCCACGAGTAAAAGACGTTCACCAGAGGCGTTTGGGTCTCTGCAAGTCCATTGTCGGGGATGCCAGACACACTGGGGGTCAAATGGACCTCCTCCTGGCCCCCCTATACCCGTTGGAAGAGTCGAATCGCTTGGTTGTTGCTATTGTTGTTGTTCTATTGTTGTCGTTTGCTATTGCTGCTGCTGTCTACACGGTACAAACTGTTCCGGTCTTGCTCAGTACCTTCTGATATCCGCAACGGATCAACTCACGGACTAGGAGAAACGTTTCGGTGCGGCACCTCTACTCCATACTTGTCTTGTTGATATCTCAGTCGAAGGAGGAAGTTCCGAGCAAGAGTCGACGACCCAACGCAACGTTTCTTCGAAAAAAGGGGGAGTCGCAATATTTCCTATTTCGTCGAGGAAACGGAAACAGTTTTCGGTGGTGATCATTAGTTCGCGAATCATTGTTTCCAGGTCGAGACTATCCATCGTAGAGCAGACAAAGAGAGAGAGAGAGAAAGAGCGAAGGGAGAAACAATATTGAAACTTGATAAACGAGGGATCATGCGTACCACATAGTTTATGGAGCTTGTTTCTGATTGCCTCACTTCTGTACCTCCCCGTGAGAAACGATCTACTGCACACCCTACTATCTCACACACAGGCAAATCAACACGCACTAAAAGCATCTCCCACCTGGTGCTCGGAAAAGTTGGGTCACAAACGTTATGAACAACAAGCTGCACACACCAACCTCACAACGAGCAGGACGCGAATGATCGATGCAATGTTCTTTGAACCTCTTCACTCCAATCACCTTGGAGCTGAGAGGGGCTACAGCAGATGCGGGTTGTTTCTAATATCCTTGATTATGGCTTCCTATCGCTGTGCATGTACACCATGCGGCCAGAATGTAAACCAAACCACAGACACGACAGCCCTTCTGTAATGACTCTCGATAAACTCCTGAATCTTGCCATGACGTCATAACGCAGCGAATACGTCTGATAATGCCCAAAGCAAACATGGTAATATTCCGTCATACGCCCACCTCACAAGAACACGAGCCCACCCTGAGTGGTCGTAGTTGCAAGTAAAAAAACAAATCTGGGAGGGTTCTCGTCAACCAGGAAGTGGAGGGGGTGGATCAAATGCGGCGACTCAAAACCCTCACCCACACCACGATAATGTTGTTACAACCAAGGAAGCGGGAGAATGACCTGGGGCGGCAGCATCGGTGGATATAACCGGTGGGGCTTGGAAAAATTGCCCAACATCCGAACCGAAACGACCATGACACAAAGCAACTATATCACAAAGGGCATAACCGCAAACGACCCCGCACGAACGAATTCCGATCAAATACTAACTCAAGTATGGCCAACCGTCCCGGGAAGGAGGGCTACCAAACGGGCACTTCAAGTCCAAGAGACTAAACTAAACCTGTCCTAGATCGGCATGGAGTCAACATCAAATCCTCGAAAGGTCGACCAATAATCGAACCGTTGCGCTGAAAGAAGTGGTTTCCGGTGGAAACGGCGCAATAAAGGTCAACTGACAAAAAAATATTGATCGAACGCCATTGAAACACCCGTGTGTCACGAGAAAACGGGCGTGTGCATATACAGCAATGCGCATTCGAAAAAGATCGAAAAAACATTTATATTAAGGGGGCCTATTGCAAATTGATAAGAAAAAAATATGTACCAGGATTGAACATCTCTCTCAGTCGTTGCATGCGATAGCAGCGCGGGTGGAAATCGGGCCATCGAAACGCAAGCCACATGACGACGCGGACGCGAGGTCGCGAAGAAAAAGTACAGATGATATCGCACACTGGGGTGGTGATATCGTAACTACCAACAAACTTGGTACCGCCTTTTCGCGAAAGATCCAGAAATGGTGCGTTATTTCGGTATGAAACCATCGACGTCCTCTTCTCACGAATGAATACGGCTTCATTAACCAAACAATCTGCAGCAGCTGCGGAAACTTCGCCCGCTGGGCGTTTCGGACTTTCGACACGGCGCATAATCTCGGTAAAAACATGCTTTGCCGTTTGTGTTCAAAGATGGGCCACTCGCCGTCCATCGTGCTTATCAGCCTTACATGCCGGGGCAAGACGACGACGGCACGACAACCGGCTGACGTGTCTTCACGTGTTACTCAGGGACGGCACCATTACATACTTGCGCCAAATCTCGAACGACACAGAGCAAAATTCATGTCTAGGCCACCATCACGTCGCGCGTAAGAGATGCCTTCTACTACGCCGCCGCCTTGTACTTCTTCCCTTCTACCACGTACACCTGCCACACCCGTGGCGAAAAAAACACGCACGCACGCACGCGGGAGAGAGAGGCATGAACTTGGTTAATAAATCCTGCGGAGTATGAAGAAGATTGAACCGCATAAAAAACAAAGAGAACCGCGAAGCGACCTACACTCAGTCAGTGAAGTAGCGTACATCACGGCGACATCTCGCCCATGTTAACTGCCACCGTGCCTTCCCACGAAGGCTACCGCGCCTTCACATGGTAGTGGGTAGTAATTGGGGACGATGTTAATTAACCCAGGACCGAAGTAGATGACAAGAATCCCTGACTACCACACCGCCGTGCTCCTTCCAGCGCACAGCACATCCACACAAAGACAAGAACACAACGAGAAAGGAGAACGCATTTCGCATGCGCGGGCTCTCTCTCGAGGGGCCCCGCACTGATCCTCAATAGTTTTTGGGCGTGTCTAAATCCCCCCCCGTCTGTATCTCCACCCACAAGGCACCAACCGAGCCAGGACATGCACGGCTGTGTTGCTGTGGTGTAGGGCTATCGCGAGACCCACCGAACAGCCGAAACGGTGCAGGTTTGATGCAGCCATAACCCCCACACACACATACTCTCCAGATCGGATCTTGTATGTATCCAAACTCCAAACTGCCCAATACATACGGATGTATCTGTCTTCGGCACATGTTGACATATTTGTCCCGACACACCCACATTCTCGAGGACGCGTCACCACTCTGGCCGGTACAGGAGGGATCGGTTTCGGTTGCGAAAAAGTCGGGACACGAGACGACCAAGTATCGGGCGGTCCAGCTTCAAACCGCGCCCTGATGCAAACTTTAACCGTTCGACGACTCCGCTGGACCGCAATATATTAAGGTGAAGTGGAAACATCGCTGATACAACACACTCCGAGCGAGGCAAACCGCATGCACGTGTGTTTTCGTTTGTTCGCTCACCATTCTAGAGTCGAAGGGCGTGTAGCAAAACAGGCAGCAACATATCAGCTTCACACAGCTTTCACAACATCCGCAGTATCTCTCTTGAACCCATTCGCCTCCTGCCGGGGCACCCGGAGGAGGCGTTCGACCAGCGCTGCCCATGGTACCCTCCTGCCACCGATGCGAACGTTTTCAGTTGAGGAAACGAGGCACAGGGATTTGATCTTGAGCGTTGTGGTGAGAGGTTCGATGGAACTTTCCGTGGAGTGCCACGGAAGGCAAGGAAGAACACGGTCACTCCGCAGAACGTGCCATGGAGCTCCAAGGACCTCGTGGCATTCCACGGTGGAACCTACGGCGTGCGGTGGGATGCGATGGAGTTCCACAGGAACTCCACGGAACAACGAGATATTCCATGGAGGTCCGTGTGGCCGTGGAAGTTCGTGGCAATATCCGCGGCACATTCTACGGAAGTTGCCGTGGCATTTTCCGTGGGGTTAAGCCAATCACTCAACTGCGTTACCGACAGCGAAACAACGCGTGCAAGTTACCTCCTGTTGCGTCTTGCGGTACACCCATCTCGTAGATATCTACGACAGAGTCTGTGCTGCTTGCTGTGCATAATAATGGTTGAGATTGCACGCAGCACAACATATTGCAAGGCGACACACCAACTAACTCTGACGAACATTCGGCGACGTCTCCTTTTATTTTTCATCCTCCATGGAACCCAAGTACCCCCATGGAATACTCCATGGAGTTCCCATGACATATACAAATGATGCGGACGAGTGGGCGCAGAACTATAGACTATTGAATCGCATCCGTTCGTACTGGCAAAAATATTAATGCGGGGCCACCTCGTGCGGCCTCCATTCGCCGCATGATCGGGAGCCCTGATTTGCTGCTGCTACTTCCCTAGGGAAGGGAGAAGCCCATTGCATGAATGCTCATTGCGTCCTACCGCAGCAGTCAGTAGTTCGGTCTCCAGAGCTAAACAGTCAACACTTTTCTGCCCACATCCCTCACGTGATGTTCCAAAACAGACGTCGTCGTCTGTGGTTCAAGGCCCAATTAAAGTTTCGTTAAAGTTTCGATCCGCAGAGGGACATGAGAAAAAATAGTAAATAGAAGCTTGGAAATAGTAGTAGTCTACAGTAATCTACGATGACTACGTACTTCGTAGACTACATTCTGTAGCCTAGTACTCTTAGGAACGTCATGCTTTTGCACTCCAGAGTTACAAACTCCCATACGGCTTAGAAGTTCAAAAGCATAGTGCGCATAATGAAGTAAGGGTTTAACCCTCTGCAGTGCCGAAACTGAGGGCCTTCAGACACAAACAAACGTAGTCTATGAACTTTGTTGCCACTTGTGGCCAAGCTTGAGGTTGTTCGCAGCAAAAGCTGCCATCGATCGAAAAGACAATCGATCAATGTAGATGTCAGTGCTGCACTTTTAGGCCTCAAGCTTACGCACCTGTTGTTGTGTCTTCCATTCCGGTTCAGCAGTCGTTGGCTGCCCGATCGTAGCCGTTGTACCTTCCATAATGTTTTGATGAATCTGTATTCAATGGACACCTGTCAAATTTGCATCCGTTGTACCGGTGAGCCGGTGAGCGAACAACATGCCACATTTGGCACATGGCGACGTGTTTCTTCGTGGACCAACAACATGTTCCCTGTTCCCTGGAGTCTAATTGAATTGCAATTCATGTGTAGAGAGAGCGACTGGGGAGACTGGGGTGGTGGTAATGGTCACATCCATTTGGTTGGGTTGCATCGCATTCTTCAGCAGCCGGATGCGTAGGAGTGGATCGAGTTGGGAGGGGGAAGATTCAAGGCGCCAAAAAATGTTTACCCGCCAGGGGGAGATGCCGCAATATGCTGCCCGCGGAATCGTACATGGCAATACAGACAGTGCCCACCAACGCTATCGATGCATTGCTAATCTCCCCCGAGCGCTGCCGAGGAGATGATCGTAGCACTTTCTTGTGTTCATGATACGGTTGCGGTCTGGAGGGAAATTGGCTGGTCCCGACCCTCTTTAAACAGCAGTCGCTACCGTTAACACTACAAGTCTATCTCTATCCATTGAAGCGGTTCTACAGCAGTAGGACGTGGTGTGTGTAGACGCAGTGTAGTAAGTTAATTGTAGCATTACTAGCTCTGGAGAAAATCCAGGCGTCCTCTTGGCCACTGCGTGAGCACCAACCTACAGCAGCAGTAGGAGGGCCGATCAAATCGGAGCGTCCATCGCAAAACGTAGGTACATCCGTCGAGGTTGGTGTTGGACTGGTGGAGCGTCACATGTGACGTTCCTGCCGGAAGGCTCGGCCATGCGCGAAGGCGAGGTTTCTGGACTTCACATACACGTGTACGAGACGTTGTCAAAGTGTTCGAGGGCGCATGCTCGTTGACAACCGAATCAACAAGCACACCGGCAGCGGTGGTTGCTGCTGCTGTCTCGTGAAGATGTACGCATACATACGTTTTCTGCTCTAGACTGAATGGGGTTGTTTTTTCATCCACTCACACCTTCGTCCACTTCGTGCTGGGGTGTCGGTCGATGCTCAACTCAAGGAGATGCTGCAGCGTCTCTTACTGATGATGCTCCAAGGAAAATGGTGTAACGGGTGTGAGTGCGCGGAGGGACGGCACAACGACCCCGAGTTGTGTATGTGAAGGAATGACGCGCGAGCGCTCCGCGGAAAAGTGGTGGTCTCCTGGAAGTCGGGATGCGATTCCTCAGAAACTTCCTTGGGCATGCGCAGCAGCCTACTGCTTTCAAAAGCGTTGCATGCATACATACACATGTTATCCATCGGGGAAACGTCCTCCTCCGCCGCCACATCGTTCGAGTTTCCTCGGGATACCTCCTGGAATACCTGCTGGACCTATCCTTCGACCAAGTAGTAATAAGCTTATTTTGTTTTTGACGTCACTTCAAATCAGCACTCACAGCACTTACTGCGCCGTTAACTCCAACTTCAAAGTAACATGCTGAGCGCGGGGAAACAAGTTTCCTCCAGTACCATTCACTGCGAAGCAGATATTTTCCCTGGACGCTGGTTACCAGACGGGGTCGCACACTCGTTTAACGTACTAGGCGAGTATCCGTCACCAACGAAAGAACTTCGCGCCACTTTCTCTCCGCGCACCACAGAAAACTCGACCGGAACTGTCCGCAACGTGGTTGGGAGCCAAGGAGCAAAAAAAAAAAAAAAGTGACGTCCTCTCCTTTGCTACCGCCGCTGATGCGCATGCCGGAGCATGTTCACACGCCCTAAACTGGCGCTGGTAGCCCTCCCGTAGCCCGCCGACGTTTGCAGAACACACACGAAACCGTCCATTCGTGGCGTGGGGCCATTTCAATGTTTGTGGCTGCCCGCAATTAATTATCGTGCACCATGAGATTCTTGAACTTTTTTCAGCTCTCGATCCCGCGATTGATTCTCGTTCCGAGTGAACAGGTAAGCGGGTACACCATGTAGCAACGGCAAACCTTCACAGGTGTGCATTGATACACCAACTCCATGGTGATGGCAGTAGTAGCTGGCAAGAGACAGCACCAACAGTGAAAACGCAACAGCACATGAGTGTGGTCAAATTACACATGTTGCCACACACAACCCCCAACACGAAACCAGTGTGGATTGTCAGTCTTCCGCGCTTAACATATGCATAAAATACACCTACAAGTAGACAAAATTCTGGAGAAATGCCATCTAGGCAGTGCCCCAACTGCATCCTCCCCAACAAGCCACACCGTTACGGCTTGTCCATTGCACGAAAACCAAGCGTCGCGCGCATTGCAATGTGGACGAATCTTTCGTGCACCACGCTCATGGGGATGGGTGCACACAGTGAGCAGCAAGCAACATTGCCAAGAGGATGCAACAAGCACCATCACACACAGGCTGGGGTGACAACGCAATTCACAACGTATCGTCGGGCGGAGGCCTTTGCCTGCAACACTATGCTGAACTGACAATTTTCGGTTGGATGCTCTACCAGAAACTATGCAAGAAGTAGTTTCTCTCTCTCTCTCTCTCTCTCTCTCTCTCTTTCTCTCTCTCTCTCTCTCTCTCTCTCTCTCTCTCTCTCTCTCTCTCTCTCTCTCTCTCTCTCTCTCTCTCTCTCTCTCTCTCTCTCTCTCTCTCTCTCTCTCTCGTGTAGCTAGGCCACAGGCATCGCAATCCCCACAAACTTGGTGCAACAGTCAAAGGCCTGTACGTCATAGTCAACATCATGGGAACCCACAACGCAACGCTTGCAACCCGGAAACCCGCCTTCCACGCAAAGCTCGTAGCGCTTACTCAAGGCTCGACAAACACACCCACTAGCCAAGCGCTGAAGCTTGTTCGCCACGGCCCCTCCCCCCCGTCTGGCCCTCGTTGCGCTACCACCGACAGTTCCGACCAGCAGGCAATCGTGATCATCGCCAACAGCGCGCAGAACCAGCCCCCCGCGAACGCAGCAGCCGCCACCGCCGTCACCGTAACGTCGCTATCTTGGTCGTCTTCGTCGTGTGTGTCGAAGCCCACAATCCCGTTGCCGAAAACCGCCTGTGTACAATATAGATCGCGAAAAAAAACGATTCCAGGAGGGGGAGCAAGTGAACAAGGGGGGTGACGCAAAAGGGCAGGCATAGGGGCATGTGCTCGATCGCCGATGGCCTTGACATTCAACCATCTGGCGGACCACCACTTGATCCCCAAAGCCTGGTGCACCGTTAGCACCCGGACCTGGATATGAGCAATAGTACAGAGTTCCATAGGACAGGTACCCGTCGATGTGACCTTCTACCCCAATCGCTCTTTTTAGTAGGAAACCACGCGCAACACAGTACGCGCGGGTGCCGTTCTCCACCTATTGCTGTGCGATGCATTCCTCACGTGGTACTAAACGGAACGGTATCGGCAAACCGCAGAAACGTCCGACGCATGCGCGGTATTCTTTTGACCGGCGACAACTGAAGAATCTGACTTTTGCGGTCAACGTTCAATAGGACGGCCATGGTTCCATAAGGAAAATAACATTTGTTAGAACGCCAGTTTTGGTTGGAAACAACGTGCAATACATACCCATACCACAAAATCACGGAATATCCAGGGAGTCAAAGTTCGCGGGAGAAATATATAGATTTGCCGCTCGGATTGTAGTTCGCGGGAGAAATAAACATGCAAGAATGACCTTCTCATGGTCACAACACGCGCACCCTGTCACGGAAGGCACCCACCTACCTACCTACCTACCGAACCTCGCGCCGACAGATTTGGTCGTCAAATCAACCACCACTTGTAGTAGGAATGGAGTCTACTCACCTTATCCGGGTTGACATCAAACGAGACACCGCCGCCGCCATCTCCGCTGGAGGACTTTCCTCGAATGTGACAGCGCAAGAGGAAATCCATGTGCCGCTTCGGGACCAAAGGCACCACAGCACTGGACGACGACGACGCCGACGGTGGAGTTACATCACCGTATCGGCGTGTCTTGCTTCGACCGCCCGATGCATAGCTCCAATCGACGGCGGACCCGCGGGCACGCCCGTTCGGTGCCGCGCTGCTATTTGCGGCGATGCTGCCGGACCCGCTCTCGGAGATGTCGCTCACGGCAGCGGCGTTTTCTCCGTCCGCGGTGTTCGTCGCGATGAGTCGTTCTCCGTCCGCAGACAGGGACAGCTCGCTGAGGACGTCTAGGTCGAGCCCTGTGGTGGGTGGGTGGGGGGGCAGGTACATTGAATGGCAGAGGGGTGCTTGAGATATTGGGTATGCCGGACGACAGTTTGCCCAGAGAACCTCTCCGGGGTGTGGCGCAGGATTGGCAGTAGCTGCTGCGAGCAACGGTTGAAAAGGTGGGACAAAAAAACAACCCGAAAGAGTGAAAGGGGTACAACACCAAGGTACACAAAATGAAAGTAGACTTTCACGGCAAACAAGAGAGAAGCAGGGCCACCTGCTGCCCACAAGGAAGCAAGGGCGGATCCGAAGATGCCATTGGTATCGCGAACAACAACAACAACAACAACAACCTCACCATGGAAAACGCCACAGCCCAAGATGTGCTCCGGCTGCTCCTCATCCGTCCTCCCTTCCAGAAGGAATCCGATGCGAAATACCGCCCTCTTCCACTTCTCCAGAGTCACGTACAGGCCCTAGAATGCGTCACGATATCATTGGAAACAGAAGTACGTCAGGCCCTAAATGCGCCACGACATCATTGGTTTCGTACGTTGCTCAGACCGTAAAGGCGTCACGACATTATTTGTTGACGTATGTTGTTCAGGTCCGAAATGCGCCGCGATATCATTGGTGACGTTGGTCCAAGTTAGAACGCGCAGCAAGGGCGTAGCTTTGCGTCACGCACTAGAGCACACAAGAGCGGGTACAGGCTAGGCCACAACCAGCGTGGTTCAATCGCTCAAAGGTGAAAACAAAATCTCATTCCACATCAGGTATCCAGCGAATAGAGTACGCTACGTTCCCGACTGCACTGCGAAACATAGTCCCCGATCCTCAAGCGCCCAATAAATCGAAAAGCAAGAGAAAATACTGCGACAATACCGAAATAGCCCTGAACCGTCGAGGTCTGTGAGGGCACGTGCATCAACAGAACAAGCATTGCTTGACTAGGGTATACGCGAGAATACGCTTTGACCAGTGGCCTTTCGCAGTTGGAGAGGCAAGGTCTCAAGAGTTGTGGCAGCTGCTGCAAGCCACGTTCGATAAAATGGGATGGTAAAAAAACGGCAAGGTGGGATGGGACAACAAAGCCCACACTGCTGACAAACCGGACACATCTCTCTACGGCCATCGGTAGCTCCGAGGCAAATTCAAGAAACTTCTCCTTCAAAACAACCACGTTAGAAACCAGCCCGGTTCCAAAACCTTTGCGCGCGCTGAACAACCCAGCACATTGCTTGGGGAAAGGTCAAGGCTAAGGTTGAGGTCATATTACCTTGCGGCCGACGTAGGAGAAGGCGTGAGCGTTGAGGTCCAGCTCTACGTAACCCGGTCCCTTGACCATGCTCGATTCCTTGCCGTAGAGAAGGATCGGCTTCCCGCTGAATCGCCTCGCGATGCTCGGGAGGCCGACCTGACATCGGTCAGACGAACAAACGAACAGGCACAAAGAGGTGCGAATACGTAGGGGGGCCGGTTTTAGCGACATGCCCTGTTGAGCGACCACAAAACCACGTCGCACCGCCGCACCCCAGTAGTATAACTGCTACATAATTGGTGGTTCGGTTTAGCGACCTGCCCTGAATAACGGCTACATTCCGGTGTGACATTAGGGGTCGCTCAACCGCCGCCCCCACTGTAGGTAAGAGTCTTCGACGACTTTGATTGGCCCACCCGGGGCGGCGCACCCGAACGAAGTTTGCGTCTCGTGTAGCTATGTATGCAGCCCCACGGTGTTTAGAGCGAGGGCCGTGTGTGGTGCCAATCAAGCGTTTCATGACCACTCACTCTATACACATTCTGCCTCTCCTCTACCCAAACCGATACCATTGTTCATCCCGTCCCATGTGGCCCCTCCCTGTCTCATGAGAGGAGACGTAGAGTCCAACGCGCACTCCACGCCACGAACATACAATAGAACACGAGAGACCGTAGCGTAGAACCTGAAAACCAGGTCTGTCTCACATGTATTCTTCACATATTTTGGCCTGAAAATCACCGAAACACACATACACACACACCTCGTCCATGTTGACGATATCCCCGATAGCCTTGAACCTCCCTCGGAAGTTCCCGTCGTCCTGAGCGCGCCGCATCCACTCCACCAGCAGCCGCACCGACTCGGGAACGTCCTCAGCGTCACCCTCCCCCAACCCAGCTCCTCCCTCCGCCGGCGGGGCCCCGTGGCTGCTTCGTCCGTGGGGTACTGGGCCACCATTCGCGGTAGCGTCGCCCCCGCCGGGAGCGGCATCTCCGGAAGGCGCCCCCGACCCCAGCGGTTCAACCGCTGCCGTTTCCGAAGCAGCAGCCGGCGTCGCCTCAGGGGAGCCCGCTTGTCCCTCCTCCCCGCCCCCCGTTCCAGCGGCGGCTGCGGCGGCGGAGCGCTCTTCGGCCCACACCCGCGCGGCGTAGCGGCACAGCCGGCGGGTGGCGTGGAAGGTGAGGATGATGTGCAAGGTCGGACCGTCACCCTGCACGGTGAACGGGGTCGGGAGGTCCGGGAGCTGGAAGTTCACCACCAGCACCGGGGGAATGTCCGGGTGTCCGGTATCGTCGCCGGTGCCGCTGCAACAGCTGCTGCTGCTACCGCCACCACAGCCGCCGGGGCCCTGGGAGAGCGGGGGGTCTTCGTCTCCCGTTCCGGTCCGGCGGGCCCCCTCCACAGAGTCGGTAGCTGAACCGCCACCCGCGGGAGTCGCCGCAGTGGGGAAAGCGGGCGGGGTGAACAGGGGGTATACCCCGCAGATCCTCCCCGCGGGGCTCCGGTAGGCGTCGATGCTGATGAGCTGGTACAGCTCCGGCGCGGAGGGAGCCTTGACCTTTGTGCGGCCGTATCCTTCAGCGACAACGCGACCGAAAGGACAACAAGGGGATGGGGGGGAGAGGGGGCGCTTCAATCGAACCAACAACGCACAAAAAGAGGGAAGAATTACGTAAAAAGTGCGCTCCGTCTGTGCTACGCTAGGGTATTTACACTACACTCCGCATTGCACTGCTGGTGGCGTGGGATGCTGGCAAAGTCACACGCGCCCATCACGGCACACGAGTAGAACCTGTTGTGAGGATGTACGAGGGGCTGCGGCACGTTCCAGGGTCGGCCAAGCCAAGACAAACTCTAGGACGTCCAACGCCAAAGTCGAACAAAAACGCATAGGTATACCACCTGGTACACCTACTCGTCAACACGCACGAAATCCTAAACCTGGCGTCACCGCGATATCAAGGCCCGCATCAGTTCCCAAAAACGAGCACCACATCACTAGCCCGAACGCAGTGCAAGTCTTGTCTTGTCTTGCGTGTGCGGCCGTACCTTTGGTCCTGACGTTGAACTGCGACCCGCTCCCAACCGTCCAAGAGTTCCACGGTTCCGGTGCGCCGGGATCGAGCGGCGACGAGTCCGGCCGTTTCGCGTACGTCGTTCCTAGCTGGGGTTTTGCCGGCGGCCCTGCGCCACCGGAACATGGAAGGAAGGAAAGAGTGGGCGGGACAGCGACGGGTGTTTGTGTGCCCGCCGCTGTACGGCGTGTGTAGCAGTATTGCTCTGGAATGCACTGCTGTTACCCTTGTTTTTCTGTCGTTCTGATCTTGAGGTGCTCGAGGAACGTGTTTTCAGCGCGCGAAGCATAGGGGGCGTTCTCTGATATTCGTTGTCCACCATTTGGGGCTAGCTTTGCGATCCCAACTCAACGTGTCTTCGCGAAGAAGGAGGAGGTAACGGACAGAGGTAAGCGCGGCTGATAAAACTCACACACACGCGCACATTGCAGTTGAGCGCCAACGGGGACGACGACTCGTAAGTCCGTGCCGGAGCATCCTCACCGTATGCCAACTGCACGACTTTCACAAGACACAAATCCATATTCCACGAGGTTTCTCAAAAGCGTACGAGTGACAGCACACGCCCTACAAGACTCGATTGCTCCACGGCCCCAGGGGCTGCAAAAAGAGCGGGTTCGAAGAGATCTATCTCGTCGAGAGCTTTCCTCACACGCGGTAGGCATTGGCACCCTTCGAGACCCTTCTACATACGTCGGTCTATGGGGAGGTGCGTAGATCACTCGTACCTGGCGCCGTAACAGTACACACCTTGCTCTGCCGGCTCCACCGGCCCCCTCTTTGCGGCGCCCCCGTCCATCTCCTCGGTGACAGGCTTCCGTCCCTTGGAAGAACCTTCCGTGGACGCCGTGTCCGCCACTGGCGAGGGCGCACGAAGCGGCCGCTGCGAGGACGACGACGACCGGCCGCCGAAGGACCCGCGGCTGAGCTTGCTCCTGCCCCGCCGGAGCTTGTCCTTCCCGGCCTCGAGGAGCGAATCCCGGTGCCGATGCCGCCGGTGCTTCAGGGGGCTCGCGCTTAGCCCGCGGGCCGAGCCAGAGCTTGCTGCCGCCGCCGTCGCCACCGACGACGACCCCCCCGGCAGCAGCCGCCTCCTTCCGCTGGCCCCCTTCCGCCCACCGCCGGCGGGCTTCCCGGTCCCCGCTCCCGCGGGCACGTCTTCCGCCTCTCCGTAGCTACCGCTGTCAGCGCGGTCGAGAGCGCTCGTGGAGTTGGACCTGTAAAGTACTTGGCGGCGGGGGGGGGGCGGGGCGGTCGTCGAAGTCGTCCCGCGCCGGGAGGCTGATGTCCCTCGTCCGCCCGTGGATCTGTTCATCGCTTCCGCTGTCTCGCCGTTGCGGGGGACGCTGCCGCCACCGCCGGTGCCGGCGCCGTCATCCGCGGCGCCAGAAGCGCTAACCCCTGGGGCTCCCGATAACGACGAGGAGAGGGAGGAAGAGGCGTTGACGCCGCTGGTAGTCCGTCGGCGGAACCCCAGCAGCTCCGAGATTCTCCGGCGCTTGCGGACGGTGGCTGCCTTACCGCCCCCCGCCGCAGCGGACGCCGTCGCCGAGCGTTCCACCGTGGCGGCGGCGGCGGTGCTGGTGCCGCGTGACGAGAGCGGGTCGTCCTCTTCTTCCTCTTCGTCGTCGTCTTCGTCGCTGGACGCCATCGACCCTTGCCCCTGGCCGCTGAAACCACCGCCCCCCCCGGCACCTCCGCCGCCGGCACCAACCTCTGCGTCGCTGGTGGTGTCCATGGCCGAGAACAAGGCCGCTTCCGCGATCGCGATGCACTCGCCGTCCGGCACGGGCACACCGCCACCGCCACCGCTAGCGGCGGCGGCGGCGGCGGCGGCGGCGGGGCCGACACGCCCGCTCTCCCGGTGCAAGTCGTCGGGGGCGGACTTATACCCGTCCGCGGCGCGACCTCGGGCATCGCCGTTGCGCTTCCGCCCCCCGGGAGGATCGTCCTTCGGCCTCGCAGAACCATCTAGCGTGTGGCGTGCCTCACCCATGCTCTGCTGAATACCACGCCGTTCCCCGGCGACCTCGGCAGCGCTGTGGCCGCAAGGCGGGGCCGAGCGATCGCGCCTCAAGGCAGCGGCGTTGTCAGGCCGCGACGCCGCCGCCGCCGCCGCTGGTGGTGGTGGCCGCCGTCCCCGGTTGTTGTCGCCGCTGCTGTCGAGGTCGGAGCCCGACCAAAACGCCACCTGCTCGTCGCAGTCGCCGTGCCTCCGCGCCGCCGCCAAAGTCTTGCTGCTGCTCTTTCGGGCCAGCAACGAGGGCACCTTGGCGTTGGACCTCGCCGCGGCGAACACGCCTCCTCCTCCACCACCGTGTCGCCCTCCGTCGCTGTACTCGAGCGCGTCTTCCGCAGAAGACGCACCCAGGTATCTCCGCTGATCATTCGCGATACCACCACCACCACCGTCGCCGCGGGGGCCGATGTCGCTCCCCGCGCGGGCATCCCGATGGGACACGACTCGGGTGACTCCGCCGGCCGCGCCCTTACTCCGATGAAATCGACGTCGACCAGAAGAGTTGGAGCTAGGCTCTAACGACGACGTTGTGCTGACTTCGGGGGCAACCGCAGCCCCCCCCCTGCGGTCGCTGTCGTGACTGGCGTGGCGTTCGGGGGGGTCGTCCAGCTCCCCGCGAGGGGATATTCCAAGCGCCGGTATGGCAAGGTCTCCGACTTCTTCCGCCTGGGGCGAAGAAAGAGAGCTCGCTTTGGAGCCGCTCCTGCGGGAAGGAAGGGAAAAAAAAAAGTAATCGGTGTTACACGGCAAAGGAGAACGGGTACAATTTTCGAAACCTGTGCACACAGCAAGACCTGCTTTCCGCCAGACAAGTCGTGGAGTAGGCCGACGGTCAGCGTACCGGGGCGGCATGTGCGACAACAAGATTATCCCCCACCCACTCCACAACACAGCAGTAACAATCTTCACGGGCGAAATCACACGGTCGGCTGCTCTCTCAGACGTCCTCCACGCTTAGACGTCACCCGACACACCTGCGGAGATGGTTCAAGCTGGGCGCACCCCTCCTGAGCATCGCCCCTAATCTGCTCCCGGCCGATGGCCGTCTCGCTCCCCCTGCGCCTCTTCCATCCGGACCCGCTGCTGTTGCTGCCGCCGCCGCTGCTCCCGTCGCTGCATCGGCACCAATATCTGCCAATCGAGCACCCCGGCGACAAACCAGCAGAGAAAAACGCCGTTTTTGTAGGATGGAACACGGGACACGAGTCATCAGCAAAAGCGAACCCAGCTTGAGGGGAAACAGGAGGTGTATATTAAGGGGTATGTTGGGTGTGGTGGACTGCGCAGTCGTAGTGACGTCCGGTGCGGTGTTGAGGATGACCGCGCTAGCGATTCAACACTTCATGACGAGGGCTGGAGACACATAACAGGCACAGCCAGCACCGAGAGAAGAGCGGGATGGACCCAAGAGCTGCGTGCACTAGGAGAGAATAAGCACCTCTGGGGAATATCGCGGCATGCTTCGGACTCTCCTAGCTCCCTCGCCCTAGCTATCGACCGCGGCGTATGCAAGCATGCTTTAGACTACAAAATGCTCTCTGTCTCACCGTGGGTGTGCGTCTCATCTGATGAGCTCTGCCAATATGTAAAATCAAGGGAAAACCATGGTGTCCTTTCAAAAATATTTAGTCCGAAAGGTGATGCGGGAAGTCGCCGGATACATAGGTGCTTACAGCGACGTTCGTCGAGAGCATCTTCGGCACGCCGGTTTCCGGTCTGGTCTTCGGGTGGATGTGAAACCCTAAACCTACGTGTGGAGAAAGGACCACTTTCGCCCTCGTGAAAGTACATAATATATTGTACTATAATACAAAGGTTATGCTTACGAATGGCCGATGCGTCAAACGAATCAAGGAGAGCTGTGGAAAGGTAATTCTTATTGCGTAAGGTGTGAGGTGATGAGACTTTGAATAGTAGTGCCCAGGCCACGGATGTTGTGTACTTCACATGTTGGGCAACCCCTCGAACACAGAGGGTACTAAAGGTAGGTAGGTGCAACGGTTGTCTCACACGCAGCGTTGCGTACGACGTGGCCTTTCGAGTGAGCTCCTGTGGCTATCTTGCGCAGAAGGAACAACAACCAGTGCCCTCTTTTCAAAGCGGCAATGCACTCGCGTTCTTCAAAGCTGCATGGAGAACCAAGTGTTCATGCAGACGGAAAACACACAGGTCTAGCCCCGGTGACCGATCGCGCTAGTCGCTTGCATATCGAAATGCTCCTAACCGGCGGTAGAACACTCCCTCGGTCTCCACGAAAACGCCAAGAGTCTCGGCCCACGATCACCAACAGCTACGCACTAGCATGGTGAATTCCTTGCTGTACGCCAAGCCTCCGTGAAAATGGCTGGCCGTAGGTGGTAATCTTCTTTAATCTGCCTTGCAGCAGGTCAGTGACGCATAGCATATGTACGCATATATGCGAATCCTATACTGTAGTACACTGCTAGCATTGAGACGGGAACTGCGAAATTCTCCATGGTTGACTATTAATACAAATACTTGTCGTTGAACAACGGCGTTGTATCTTGCTTGCGACGATATAACCAGTTTGTGTGCTCCGATGTGGTGCAAAGGCTGGCGTGTGTATTCTATGTGCTATGTACTGTTTCTATTGTGGGATATCAGCAGGAGGTGAGCTTGAGTCCTTCAATATTCAAAAAGGCTTTCGTTGTGTCATATTAAAAAAAAAAAAAGGCGCATCTGGTACAATCAAGGGGTACAGCAGTATACTTAAGTCTTTCTGTGTGTGTTTTTATTATTCCTTAATAAACGACTGAAAACCACCTTGCCTGCTGTTGGAACATCGGCCCAAAAAACGGTTCCGAGAGCAAGACGCGAAAACGACTCGCTCCCTTCTCCGGTTGGGCACGAGCTAAGTCCTTCCATACTTCCGCAACCTCTAAGAGCAGACTAACGCCACCAAAACGCAAGCAAGCGGCCGTTTATCCGGCCGCGCACCTGGTGCAGTAATATCGTCGATATGCCCGACCACGCCCGCCGAAGTTGACGCTGCTGCTGTGGTTCCCCGCCCCCGCTTTCCAACGCGCATCTTCCCCGGCAGACCGAGTCGCCGGACTCTTCGGCCGCCCACCCCAGCGCTTTCCGGGTCGCTGGCGTACTCCGTCGCGTCCAGCCCAGCGACGGCGGGAGGGGTTGATGGCGTCACCTGCTGTTCTCCTCCAGACCGCAGAGGACCGTATGTCTTGGTTTGTTCCATCTTGTCCTTCAAGTGTGGACTATTGATTGTAAGGCATCGAACAGCAGGAAGCAGGAAGGGTGTTGTTCCCCCGCACCTGTTGCTCGTGCCGTTGAACATACAGCATCCGGGACGCATTTTGAACGGAAATAGGAGGAGGGGGGGGGTCCAATTGGTTAACCTGCTGCGATGACCGCGAACTGGTGGTGTCTTTCCTCTCTGTTTGGGACAAGCACGCGCGCGGCTCATCGTCGTTTAGGTGCAACAACGAGAGTCTATTGTGGGACGGACACGACGAACAAAATGATTTTCAAGCTCTGAAAAAGTTGGGACACGTGTACACTTCGACGTTGATCTGGAGAGGAGGAGGGGGAGGGGAGTCGTGCAGCAGGCAACTCACAACCTGACTCACCACTGACGAAGGTGCTATCTCTCAGTCAATGAACACAGCAGCTGGAGGGACTCGAGGGGAATCAGCGGACAGGGGGGCGGGTGAAGTCAACAGTAGTGGAGTAGAACGCAATAGAACGGGCCAGGGGGCTTCGCGGATATTGTCCTTCATTTATTGGGGGTGTTTATACCGACGGAACCCCTGGGAGTCCTCGAAAGTTGGGTCCTACCCCCGAGCACCGAGCACCCAGCACACACAACATTGCCAGCGGCGGTGTGTTGCAGAGCGCCGCTGGGACCATGAGGCGAGCGAGGCAAACCGCAAACGTGGTGGCGAATCCCATCGGCCGGGCATTAGCGAGGCGGAAGTCGTGTCCGCACAACGGCCTTGTGGAATCAACAACGGAGAGAGGCGCAGCAGCTGCTTTGCGCAGAGATCTACAGCGCCCGCCGCCGTTGCCGAGGTGGGTTTAGTGAACATCCAACATTGGCTGTGTATCTGTAGAATGCCCGGGGCGGAGTGTACACGTTTATCGAAAGGAATCATCCCAATGGTGCGATCGTCTGCCATCCGACGAAGCTTCTTTCCCCAGGGCACATATATCTGTCGATCTCTGTCATTCTTTTCGGCGTGTGTGCGCTCTTCTGTGTATATCAGGTCCCTTCATTGCGGCGGGCTCTGGGGCAGACAGCAGGTGCTAAACTAACGCGTAGTGATGCGGGTTGTTGTGGTTTTCCTGGGGCTCTGATGGCCCTAGCCTCGTCACCACCCCCTCCCTCCCTTTCTCTGTGGCGATGCCCCTGAAATGAGCAGCCTGTGTTCGCGTGGTCACCAAAAACAGCCCGGATATATATGTGGTACATCACAAGCATTGATCGTGTGTCTGCTGCCTCCACCAGCTGCTCACAAATCGCACCGCACACACGAGAGCTTGTGCATCGTGCGACACGGTTTAGAAGCAATCCCAGCAATAGATTTGCGCGCTGTGTGGGTCATCCAATGCCATCTTCGAACCAACGGCGGAGACGGAAGTGCAGAAAGAAACGTTCGGACGGGACATGGCTGTCCCATATACCGTTGTAGAAACCGGGAAATATGTCGAAGAACCCACCCCCAGATGACGGTTGAAGACGTACTGCTGTATGTATATGGATGGCGTACACACGAAACGTGTTGCCACTTGCCTTACGGTGCGCGTGCAGGAGCCTTTAACTTTTCGCAGCGGTGGTCCGCATATCACCCGTAACTTCCCAGTCGACCAGAGTGGTTATAGGCAGGGGCTCAATCCAACCGAGATTGTGGTGATTGGTCACTGCTACAATACCACTGCTGTTTTTCAGAAAGAACCACCGCCTTGTGCCGTTGTGTTGTGATATGCATGTGCCACATCGATTTCGTGCTTCGTGCTCGCTTGTGTACACTCTTGGTCGCTCCCCCCACCTCCTCCCTCACCGGGTGGATGTGTGCGCCCGCAGGTGCGGAGGCCTGCCTAGAAAGGTGTACATCTCGCCCGAAAGCAACCACGACCCAGCGTCTGATTGTCGACTTCCACGTTGTTGACATGGCACACCGCATGTCATCGGGACTCTACATGTTGTTGTTCCATAACATATGTACGCATACACAGCAGTAGTGCCATCCAATTCATGGACAGCGTTTGATAAAGACCCTTTTTGTGCGGTCGATCATCTCTCCTCCCGAACGAAGGAACGCCAATGCGCTTGCTTTTTTTTTCGGGCTTCCAGCCTACCCACGCGCTGACGCTTTGACGTCGATTCTTTGTCGCTCGTATGTACTGTAGGGGTGGTGGGCTCGGCGAGAGCTCGCGTCTCCTGTCTGCACAGTACCGTGTGCGACCTTTACCGCTGCGTTCATCCCAGCAGCACGGCGCATCTGGCTCCGGGGAAACGAAACGGAACACAAGTTCCGCCGCAGCGGCGGCGGGATTATCTCCTGCCAGTTGCTACCATGCAGGGCCGCAGCGACACCTAGCCGGTACCGCGTGGGGAAGAACCAGCAGAGGCCTCTCCGCTGCGGGAAGAGAGGGTGCGGGCGCCGGAAAGTCTGCCGACGGAGCACCACCAAGAGGGGGAGAGAAAAACGACGGGAGCTCCGCAGTAGGGAGCGAGGGGGGTAATGCCTCGGGAATGAAAAAAGAGCGAGGGTGGGCGGCCGCGGCGGCGACAGGCGGGGGCTCCGCGGCAAGGCGGGCTGGGAACGGAGGAGGAGGGGCCAGGGCGACGGGCGGGGGATCTGCCGACGGGGACTCCACAGGATCTGGAGCAGGAGGGGTTGTCGGGGATCTGCCACATCAGGTTTCAGAGCTCTACGCCGGTGCGTATTGTTGATGGATGGATGATTGGACACCGTGTGCACGCCCGCGCCTATTGTCGCCTTTGCATTTGCCTCGGGCGTTCGGGGGCTTTGCTGCTGCATGCTGCTAAGTGTGTGGGCTCTGTGCCGGCGTGAGGTGGTTGCGAGCAGTAGCGCCAACGTGTTGTTCGTTGCATCATTGGTTTAGCTCTTGCACTCCTCCTCTGTCCGCTGATCGTGATTTGTTGCTCTGAGGATCATTTTACTCGCGAATACTGTGCTCTACGTGGTTGCTGCTGATGCACGTTGTGACTATAATACTACCAGAACCTCGTGCCCTGGCCACCACTCCATGCCAGTGCAATGTAAATAGAGCGTCTAGGTTATTTTCACGAGAGCGTGGATGTGCCGACCCTCATTGCTACGTAATGTTTTCCTGATTTTCGAGGATAGCATTTTGATTTTTGTTCCCTCCAACCCTCACCCCGACGTTTCGCTTTGATGCTTGAGCCAAACCGGCCCCTCGCGCCTCCCCTCCCCCTCTGTCCACCTGCTCGATGCTACACAATCCGTTGCGGCGGAACTCTTGCTCGACGTACTCAACGTGACATCACAGAGATGGAGCGTAATTTAATGTCCAGGATGCACGCGCAGGACAAGAACCGATTCCGTGCTGTTGGCCTCTCCAGCGTACTTATCTTGGTGAGAGACGATGGTCAAGCAGAGGGGGTAGTCTACCCGCCACGCTCTGCTTGAAGCGGAATCCGTGCGTGGGAACAAGCCCAGTGCCGTCACCTTTTGTTGGTTGGCACCGGAAGTAGTACTCGCAATTTGTTGTGGTAGAAATGACGAACTTGAACTGGTGTTTTCGAGTGTTTTAGTGGTACACGGCTTGAATGTAGCATGAATATGCGCGGGGTCTGGGTGAAGCAACGTGGATAGAACAGAGACCTATTCCTACAGCAGAGAGCACGTTTTATTCAAGGATGGGGTGAACCAAACGAACTCGCTTTGAGCATGTGGATGGAAGGTGCTTTCGTGGGATCTTCGTGGGTTTGGTTACGTGATGAGTGTGTGGGGGATTTTGGTCCCGTGTTCACCGGGGAGTACTGGGGGGTTGGTGTGACGAGTGTGCATGGGTGTGTGTCAAACCAGGGATCAGAGGGTGGACATTGGGAAACTGGCTGTTTGTTATTGCTGGTGGGGTATTTTCCCACTTTTTCCGGTTCTTGGGTTGGTGGTGAACACTCAAGTAGTTTCCGCCCCCGGTTTTTTTCACCACCTAACACCACCTAGCCGGACTGGGGGTGACGCTTACGCCTGACACCGCGCAACATTTTTTGAGGCATGATGCCCCCCCCCCCATTGTCGTGGCCCTCGCGTTGTTTTGATCTTGGAAGATATGGGTACTGAGCATGTTCGGGACGGAGATCAGGCGGTATTTCGCGAGCCAGACGGCGGAGGTGGCAAGAGAAACCCTCAAAGTCGAAGCACTGCAGGTGGGATGGGCTTGTTGTTGATGGTTCTTTTGCCGTCGTTTCTGAAGTTGTTGTTGGTGGTGGTGGTGGGATGTATTGGCGGTATGGTGATTGTTGATACTGCTTTCGCTACTTCTCGGTCAGTAAATCGCGCAGGCGAAATCATCATGTTTGCGTAGTTGCATCTTCATCCACCGAACCTACAGTACAAGCCCAACATTCGAGTTGTTGTTGTCGTCTTCACGTAAAACCGTTCCGTTCTCTCTATCCACTACAGCGGTGGCTACGGTGTAAGAGAGGGTCGGGACAAGCCAGAATTCATCTCTTGAATCCGGTTTTCTTTTTATCCGGTTTAAGAGAGGAAGGATTCCCCTCTTAAACCGTAGCCCATGAAGTTAAGGCCGTTTTATTGTGGATGCCTTGCCTTAAGCTTAGCCTTATCAGGCACGCCGAAGGCATGCTTCAGGCATGTGCAAAACAGCCCGCCGCAGGCGAAAAATTTTGGGGTCAGGCAAAATTTCAGGCATTTGCCTGAGACCAGGCTTTTGCCTGAAATGCCTGATTTGAATCACGCAACCTGCCTGAAAACTTGCCTGACACTTGCCTGAAACCCATTCAAGTCGTTTTGGCGCCCTCATTACGCAACTGTAGCGCGCAACTAACGTGCACCGGCAGTGATGGCATTCAGGGCTTACACTGAAGTATTCAGACACGTAGTTGACGAAAAATATATATTATTATTTTATGTTGCAAACAACATTTATTTGCCCCGTATATACATACATACTGTACGTTGGTTCCCCCCATTCACCCCATGCGTCTCGACTCAGTACTCCACCAACATCAGCAAGAGGTTGCTTGAAGCGGGCGAGGGGCGAGGGGCGAGGTACAGAGAGCGCACAGAGGCTGGAGGAGCAGAAAGAAACAGAGAAAACCATTACTTCGCAAAGAAGATTGTTGTTGTACAGATAGATGCCAAAGAAACCAGACAACAAACAAACGTTCAAAACAAGATTCGGACATTCAACGTTCGACAACAAGCAAAGCATTCCCCGCCGACGCAAGGCATGGTAAACCGATAATTACCATCCTCCCCCACTTCCATGTGTTTGGTGTGTGCAGAAGCGCTAAATAAATAGACAACGCTAACAGTCAACGAGCTCTAGGGGGCCAGGATTTTTAAAGTTTGACCGGAGGTAAATGCGAGCAGCCAGTCAGATTATTGGCGCCCCCTCGACTTTCCCGCAATGCCTTTCATCATGTACGCACGGGCAAGAAAAGTTAGCTGGCAGCATCTTGCTGCACGACCACACGACACACTGCCAGCACGACACTACCAGCACGCCACACCGCTAGCTAAACTACCACTGGCGCATCATTCGTCGAGCGCGCAAGGCCGTGCATTTTTTTTTTCTTCTTAATATGGCACAACAAATCCATCTCTATTTTTTATTTTTTTATTAGGAGGGGGTCCGTGCTTGATTTGTTCCCCCTCTCTGTGTCTCACGGGCCCCCCTCGGCCCCCTACATACCTACTTATGAGAGTTGGCGTTTATTTTATGATGCCTGACACGTGTTTTGGCGGTTTGCTGCGTTGCCTGGCGAAAGTCAGGCATCTCAGGCACCAAACACCCTCTCAGGCAACCCCGATCTGAAAAGGGGCTGTCAGGCAATAAATCAGGGTTGCCTGATAAGTCTAAGCTTACCTTGCCTACACTGCCATATGAAGATGCTCATGATGGAGGGCATGAAATATATCGTGTTAAAGCACTGCGTCAGCGCCTTGTTGCCTTGTTCGGCACATGATGACATGAAACAACAGCGAGCCATGAAAATATGCCTTGTAGAAAATAAAATGAGGCAGATATCTAACGTGTCGGATATATGCGTAGCGTGGGTGTTTAGTCTCAGATGAATTAACAGACGAGCTCGATCAGTCTGAACAAGGAGAAACGGGCAACTCCTCGGGGGCAGCCGTAGTGCGTCCGCCATTGGACTCGAGGGTAGCAGAACACCGTTGTTGTTGTTTACTCGAGGATATCGCCGAGCAAGAAGTGCGGCATGCACCACGCCATGTTTGTAAGGCTAAGGTAGCGCGGATGAGCGAACACGGGTCGAGGAAAGTAAAACAGACAGACGTGCACGACTTTATGATACGTGGCACAACGGTAGGAGAGAGCTCTAAGGCCAGGACCCGGTGGGCGCACAGACAGCTAGCTGTGTCGCAGCCACGGTGCATCTCGTCGTTCTGACGTTCTGACCCTGCATTCGTGCGCCGCGAAGTCTGGCGGGGCTCGTGTGTGATCGGAGACACTCAAGCAACGGCTGCCCGCTGCACAAGGGCATGGTGCCTACCGGTTTGGATGTGTTTTGTATATTGTGCGGGTTTTCCTGCGTCGGGGGTTGGATTTGAGAGAATACGACAGGAGTATGGCAACTTCTCTCTTACATAGGCGAGAGGCGTGACAAGCCAGTTTTACTCTCTGAAACCCGTGCTTTCTGTTAAATAGTCTCTTTACTAATGTCTCTTAAACCGTAGCCACCAACTAATACCTTCTTCTGTCCGTAATAGTCCAACACTTGACGCGGTCGATTCCCGTGGTCACAGGCTAACTTACCCAGAAAAAGGCATGGAAAAAAAGAACCCGAAGGTTCCGCAAGTCAAGATAAATCAACGACAGATAGCCTAGAACCCCCCGCTCGCCTCTACACGCTTGTATGCGAGGTAACTATCATCCGGAAAAATAGAAAGAATAAAAAAAAAACATTATTAAGAAGAGTAAGCAGAGGGGGGGTAAGAGAAGACTCAGAGAACGACACGCCAGACTCACTACCGTAGCGATAAACAAACAAACAAGACAACACACGAAAACAAAACGAAACAAAACAAAACGGGCCACCCGCTGCAGCGAGGGCACGTCATCGCTCGTGGGGAGTGGGTGCAATGGTGCAGTGACGGGGGGAAGGGGGGGGGGGGTACTCATAGTCGCGCATGCCGTACATTGACCTCGCATCCCTACAAAGCCGAAACGGAGCATGCCGGGTTCTCACCGGACCAGACTCTCACATCACCAAGCGCGAAGCGCCGTGAGGTATTCGGCGAGTCGCATGAAGGGTGCGCTGCATCCTGCTAAGGGTGTTCGGCATCTTGTCCTTACTTCCGTGCGTACGGATGACAGCTGCGTATGACTTAATTTGTTTTCTAGTGCTTTCCCTTCCAGAGACAGTTATAAGCACTGTGTAACTGCCTCGAGGGTGCTTGACCATTTTAACACAACGTGGTGCGATCATCCCCCGTTGCGCGGAGTGAGGGTTCTCGACCCCGCAAAAAATAGTCTACTCGACCACCACTATGGCGAAAACAAAGGCGAAAAAAAAAGCGGTAAGCTGGTTGCCGAACTCACAAAGTGATCGGCTCGTTTTACAACGTAGTTGCCAAGCGACGAAAATCCAACCCCGATGGCAAACACCGAGGGGGGGAGTGACGGCGGGGGTTGGGGGGGGATAAGTCCATCAGGGGGTTCAATCCGGCACAACCTTTTGTTGCGCCACTCGGTCCGCCTCTTCTCGTTTGCTACTTCTACAGTACATCAACTACCGTAAGCTACGGAGTTTTCCCCCCGAGGAGGGGATCGTTTTTTGTTTCTGAAACCAACCCCCTCAGGGGGAAATTGACGCACCGCGGGGGGTTAGTTTTTTTTTTTCCAACGCTACGCCGAGGGGAAGCCCCCCCCCCGGGGGTTTGTGCAAAATAATGATGGTCCACACACCACACACACACAGAGAGTGGTGAAACTGAGATGGATAAGGTTTACGAGCAAGCGTTCAACAAGCAGAGGGAGGAGGAACGTAAGAGCAACAGAGACGAAGAGAAAGAAGACAGCAAGAGGTACCATTGCGTAAGCTCATGCACAAGAATTAGCCGTGTGTCGCAGGAATAATATTTTTATGCTTCGCCGGTTGTACCTTGAGTTGTGAGATCCAATATTGAATACGATTATTTTTTCCGTTTGTGCGCAAGGTTTCGTCAGCATGGTACGTTTCAGCTGACTCCAGGGGTATAGACAAAAAACGAAAGTATTTCACGCATAAAACAACGGCGAGGGCCAAGTAAGAAACGGACACCTAAATCTCGCTCGAAGCGCAGATCTGCAAGTGAATTTTCCGTCCCATATCATGCTTTTTGTGCTCCGCGACGCAACAAAGTCGTCTCAGAAAATAAGGGAAATGCATCCCCCGGGGGGAACTCGTGGGAAATTGGTACCCCGGGGGGAAATTGACAAACCCGGGGGGATCCTTTTATTTTTGGTCGAAAACGATCTACCCCGGGGCTAAATCAACGAACTCATGCTTCCAGGCTGAAAAGGTAATACGGGGGGGGGGGGGGAATCTATCCCAGGGGAAAAACTCCGTAGTTAACGGTATATCGTCACTTATTCTCTGGGACACAAACAACGAAGCCGCGCGGGTGAACAAACTAAATTGCGCTCATGTGGGATTTTAGAGCATACATGCCCTGCAAGTGCTGTTTTGGCGTGTTCGCTGCGAGTGATGGATTGGGTGACTCGTGTGTCTCCTGCTGCTGTAGCGTATAGACATCGATCGTAGCAGTTCGATTCGGTTCTATTTTGGAACCAAGTTCAGAGCGGATCCTCCCGGCCAGTGCTTGTGCAGGAAACATTACACCATTAGTTCGCTGAGCTCTGACTGCACCGCCTTGGGCAGTGTTGCTCCCCCCAACTACTCTTGCGCTACCGGGGTGGACAGGGAGTGAATAATCAACACCAGAAAGTTTGTAGTGCAGGGCAAGCGGTCCGACTTGATCACGCTAGCACGGCATGATATATTTTTTCTTTTTTTGTCGATCGATGCGAACGGGTCTTGCCGGTTGGTTACTATACCCGTCTTCGTGGTCTGCCTGACAAGACCAACAACGAGATCACAGACCAACCACAGTTGCGAGGATTACAACTGAAAATTTCAAGAATCGCGTGTTGTCTGCGAGTACGCATGCACGATCCACGCACTACTTTACACGCGTGGCAGCGGTCGAGACGTTCCACACAACAAGGCAGGGCAGGGCCGTCTTGTATCATATGTAATCCATGATAATGAATGCTTGCTTTCCCTGGCGGTCTCGCATGGGTCGGGCACGAACAGGTGCAGACGCAAGAGCTGGCGACTGCGTTGGTGCAGGCACTTCTTAACGACCAGGAGGTGGTGAGAGCCGGCGCTCTCTTTCTGAGGGAGGCATCTGCAAACCCGGAGACCCAGGTGGGGAATTTTATCGGAATTTTATCGGGGTTTTCCTCGAGTGTCAGATGAAAGGCGGGCCGGCCACTCTGGTCAGCCCTATGGTTCATAGTCGTTGTGTTTTACCTCATCTAATCGATGTTTGTGCTATTGTTTACTGGTTTTGTGTCACTTTGCACGAACATCCGGGACTAATATTTTCCGCAATTCCGTACCGGTTTACCTACCCCAGATGAGCCTTATGGTCACAGGCGGTCACGAGTATCACGAAGTTCATGAAAATTCTGTGTTTTTGTTCCAGTCCGCCTTCGGTGACCTCCGCACACCGTTGTTTCGTCGGCGTTATTGTATCGTGGTAGACGCGGTTCATTGCTGCATGGTGATTTCACAGGCTTTTGGCTGTACAGTCCCCCCAAGTCTTGTGTGTCAGAGCTACCTTTTTCGTTGAAAGACTGCGTCTCGGGGGGCTTTTTCGCACCGACTACTGCTCTACTGTCGAACCGGCTTCCAAAACACTCTCGTCTTGGCTCTTACAGCTCCGCAAGACCCAAATAAATCCTGTTCCTTCTGGACCTAGGATCTCTAGCGTTTGAGCGGCCACAAAGATGGCGCCACCGGCTACGCTTGGAATCACCCGATTTTTTCTTGCCTCGACTGCTGTTCTTTGCTCTTTTTTCGTTTCTTGCCAAGGCGGCCTTGGTCAGCCTCGCCCTGTACGTCCTGCAGCACCCCGATACCCGAGCGGAAACCAAAGTGCTGGCCAAGAAGCTGATCAAGGCTATCCTAGATGATCCGGACACAGTGTTGCAGGTGGGGATTGTTGTGGTCGTGTGCCGGTGATGGTGGTCGTTGTAGCGGTGGTGGTGTCGATGACGTCATACATCTTTTCTTTTTCTCCCTACTGGCTTGCAAGCTTGGAGTACGAGACGGGCTCAGAACACGCAGCATGCCGTGGGTGACAAGTCGCGTTTTCCTGGAACGGTATAATGCACAGCTGATTGCACTACGCGCCGTTTCCACCCACGCCTCTTGAGAGTTGAGCAGATTGCGGCTGCATGACTTTCGTGTGCCGCGGCATATGCCTCTGTCCATGGTGTCTGACTGCGATTTTGCCGTTGTGTGTCACAGGTGACGGATATGGTCCTGAAGGTTATCAGAACCCCGCAGTTCCGACAAGGCGCATCGGAGCTCGTCGTAGCCCTGGGACAAAGCCAAGAGGTGTGTGTGGTATGACAAGACAAGGCTTCCGAAAAATGGTTGCAGAAATATTCACGATGCCCCTTCCCACGTTTCGGCTGGAATTTCACTCACGCCTGCACCCCCTGGATGGTGGCCGTGACTCCCACCCTCGTTCGCGAGCACTTTCTCCCGAGAAACATGATGCGTGCTTTCATAATCATTTCCAAGGGTGCCTCCAGTCCCGAACACCAACCGTAACGCAACCATTTTCAATCCATTCGTCTCAGGTGTATGGTGCCGTGGTCGATCTTGCCTCGAGGGTCATACAGGACCCCAAGGTGCAGGCTACCCTCAGCACGGTCCTGTCTGCGTCCTCCCGTGAGGTAGGTCGAATTTGATCCATTTTCCCAAGAATTTTCTACGGCCGTGACGTACTCTCCAGGGACCACATGTAATTGGAAAAATGTCTTGTACTCGCTAGGGGGTTTGCAAACGTTGCGTTTTCGTTCCTGCTTGAGAGTGGAAGCACGAATTCACGGTTTTCGGTGGCGAAGCACGAAAGCAGAAACAGGACGTGACGTTTTTAGGAGACAAGGTTAGGTTAGGATTCAAAAGCCTGCCAGCCGTATGGGCGTCGTGTCGTGTGTGGGGTGTCGTGTTTTTTGGCACGGGAAGGTTGTGTGTGGCTTGCCGGCCTGGTGCCCGGTGTTGTGTCTAAGGGAGAGCTCGTCTACGGAAGCTCTCTAGCTCTCGCTAGGACCCTTCTCCCTTCTATCGCCTCGACTGTTGTCACCGCTGATCAACATTTCTGGGAACGTGTCGCGCATTCCTCTTGGCTTTTTTAGTTGCGTGGCCAGTCGTTGGCGTGAGGTGTGCGACCTACTGGGTCAGTTGGTGCCGCGTTTGGTGCCGGTGCAGAGTGAAACCCACCCTCAAACAAACTACCCGTAGCCTAAAATGAAGGCATTGGGGACCGGCTACAGTAGAATCGTCATTATGGCGGACACCATGTTTGGATGCGGTTAATCAACAGCGGCTTCGTTGTCGTGCCAACCCCGAAACGGCGTGAGATCATTGTTGTAAGCCGCACCCGAGCCCCTGTCCGAAGACAACCGGGCGTCGGGAGGCTTGTGGACAACCCTGAGCGGCAGCTAACGGACACACTCACCGAGCTGCTGTATCATCTCAGTCCCTCTCCTCGGCTTGACGCGCGTCGATGTGACTGACGTACCCCACAGGTTCTGCAAGACCAGGTCGTCTTCGACCACTCGAAGGTCTTCGTGGCTCAGGTGTGGCAGGGCAGGACCATCTTGTTTTCACTCACTAAATCGCGCGTTAAACAAATATTTACAGCCACATGGATGTACCGAGGTATCCCAGGAGGAACGTTTTGTGATTGCATATTTGGGTCTGATGCTTGCTGTGGTCCTCATACAAACGCACGGTGTAGCTCTCCCCAGCACCGTAGGTAGCGTGCTCAACTAAGACAAACCTGCCGGTGGACTATCATTCCCTTTGCACTTTGATACTTTTATACTTCTTTCCCACGACCCTGTTGAATGGTTCAATGCCGACTATGGTGACTCACTTGTAAAAAAAATAAAAAACAAAAAAAATGGTGACTCACTTGCTTGTCGGCAACGCTGATTCGAAGTGCAACTGTTGTGAAAACTAGACAGTTCGCCGCGCGGTTGAAGGCCCGAAGACGTGGTGATTTGCTTTTCTCGACAGTATTAGCACTGTACCACCTTTCACACTTGCCAATACTGTCGGGCTCTCCGTCTCCCTCTCTCTCCCTCGCTTCCTCTCTCTCTGCTACCCCCCCCCCCCCCCCCCCCCCCCCCCC